CGTCGTGAAGTGACTCGTCTGCTTGCAGCAGCGATTATAAGATTGGATGACAAACAAAAAGAACTGATAGGTAGACGAATGGACAGACGAACAAAGAGCAAAAACAACACAACATAACTTCCACGAAACATTTGTGGAGTAAGTCGATGTTAGTATGCATGTATAGGATATAACTAACAACAATTACGTAAGTGGAAAAAATATGGTAGCAGCGGCGAACACTACGGTACGCGCTAAATATAAGAGGTAAGCGAAAAGAGTAGCAGTCAGAACCAGATAGGGATTCCAACAAAGGTTACATAGCTCCCCTTAAAAAGGGATATAACCAGGATGCACTATAGAAGAAAGCTAAGTTATGATACTAGTAAGGGTTCTTAAATTTTGCATCAATGCTAAACTTACATTATTTAAGTAATTGTTAACTTAATATAGATACTAAGAAATCTAGCTGTACTATACAGAGGATCGGATGTACGTGAAAAATCATTATAATCGGTCCTCCCTATATGCTTAAAAGCTAAAGTCTTAGCCCTATATTGAATCATTCGCAAGCTCCTTTAACGAAAATGATGTAGGGTTTATGTAAGAACCTAGCAGAAGGCCAAAATATTTTACCAATTAGTTGCAGTGATAATCCATACACATGGCTCCTTCAAACTTTCAACCTGTCTATAAAGTACATCGCCATACCGAACCTAGTGGGCGTCTTTTTGGACACATTTCTAAATAAATGCTCTGAAATACCCAAACGAGTCAAAGGACCTTAAAAATAGAAATTAGTTATACAAATCAAGCATAAACAAGTCAATATCCTACCCTATTTGAGAGACTTCGTTAGAGACCAACAGGTAACCAATATCCTAATGTTATCCTTCTGTTGAGCCCCTAGAAAGGCCCTCTCAAAGCATACACATTTTCTAGCACCTGAGAAGCGACGGCTGTATGACGTGTTCTCGTCGGCCGACGTAAGCACGCTATTTGAAAGAACCTCGTAGCTGACAGATCCTCGCTACGGCGTCTCGTAAGAGCAAACAACAACAAGAAAAGAATGGCATTCTCCAAATGTGATTTCATGTGATGCCACTGGCTTTGAATGGGGAAATGAGTCGGAGCGAATTGCACCGAGAAAGCAGCGCCGATACGTCGCTGGAGAACCTAGCTAGCCATAAACCGAGTTAAGCATAAACCGTGCAAACGTTGGACACCGCATATCCCCTCGCAATACTCGAAACAATGGCTTAGTATGGCACCCCGTAGCGCTTCCTATGAAATCGGAATTTCTTTTGAAGAGGAATGCCAATAGAGCGATTGCCTGGGCCATGTTTCCAAGACAAAGCGGTTACGTGCCGCTCTAAATTGCACGTTATAAATACGTAACGCGTCACAGGCAGGGTACTTGCGAATGAAATTCGGATGAACGACAAAATGGCACTTATCCTAGATATATCATATGAGCGACAAGTTTTTATTCCGAAGGAATGGCACATGGACAAGCTTGCAGCGGCGAACAGGGAAAACTATCCTTTACGCTAGTAAGTTGCTCCCTAGTTAACCGGCAGAAACGACTGTTACGCTCATAAAAAACACCCTGAATAGATATGGCTGGATGTTACATAGATAGTAATGGAAAACACCGTACATGCAGCTATATATTATATATTACCGGGATTCAAACAAAGCAAACAATTTCTCGTGGGTTTCGTTCGTTCGTTCGTTCGTTCGTTCGTTCAGCAACAGCCGAATTCAGAAAGCTGCTTTTCGGAGACAGATCAAGTACCGTCAGATATGGCTCTAATATTTCCGTAAGTATACGTCAACCCATGTGCATTATACAGTAGCCCCTTGATAACTTGGCTATACATGCATTCATACCCAAAGACTAAGCATGTGAATATAATAGTATGCGGTTTTCGTATCATTACTGCGATTCACGATTTGGGCACGGAATGAGTCGATAACAGCCAGTTTCTATCAAGAATCTATCTTTTCGTCAAGATTCAGGTATGGTTCGTATCCGGGTCTGAGATAAAGTAGCTTTGTTAATGAACCATCGATAGAACGGGCGTATTTGTTTAAAGTTACGCACGATAAATAAACACTGCGCTCCAGCAGAAACGTAAGGCAGTCGTGGTGTCCAGCAACTGCGAGGCCATCACCCAGGTGACACGTCATATATAGCATAATGATTCCAAATAATTGATACCAGTAAGGGAAATACAATGCATCTGAAGACAAACAGCACTAGCCCAATATCCCCAGCAGAAGCTATGTACCATGTTTTTTGCAACGCGTATTCGAAACGGATGGCTCTGGAGTCTCTTTGGCTAGTTTTTTTTCCGTTGGCTGTCACCATTCACACTAAGATACGATCTCTACAAATGTTAATCCCTTAGCGATATTACTATTATCGCAACATTTATGAAACGTGCATCCAAAGCCTCCTCGATAATTGACTGCCATGGCACACCGATGTCGACGCCCCGTTGTACGCGCTCATGCAAAGGCTAATTGGAAAGCGAAAAAAATTATTATGTACTAACGAATTATATCGGTCCGAAATGAGCTGCTAGCCTCATAAATGGGAACTTTGCCGACTTTTGCCTCGACCCAGGTCTCCTGGGTCACGCAGGATATTTATACACGTAGTAGAGCGCGAAAATCATGAGCGGATCCTGATACCGGTTTACGAAACAAAGCTGATGAGTCATAAGAAGTGAAACGTCCACTACAGAGTTTAATTGATGCCGAACGAAACCTCATGAAGAGCTTGTGAAAATCAATAAATGGTAAACTCTACGCGAAACTATAATATTTTTCGCTTCGGAATTGATTGTTATAGCAAAGGAAGCTAAAGATGAGACTCTAGCATCAGTGCGTGCTCGTTAAACGACTGCCATAATAGCGGTAGGGATATAAGTATATGCATATGTGTCCGAGATAGAATCTATATTATTAAATATAAATAAATAAATAAAGGCTCTTTTCCTAATGGTGACTCCTGCTGTTTACTAAAAGTCGCGAAAGTACTCGTAAAATTCGCTGCCTCATTCCAGCGGCGCGAATGATTTTGTATTATACAGTAAATTAGACACTATTGGGTATTTGTCTGCTTTGTTAGGAAATTAGCCGAAACAGAAATGTCTGGGTAAACCCAAAATTATCGAACGTGCGTACTTGTACGCTGAGTTGTTAAATTAATCCAGCTATTTGCACTTAAATACTACTTAATACTCAGCGAAACACCTCAGTCAACTAAAGAATTCCATATACCTGTTCAACGACTTATTGAATCAAAACTTGAAGGACAAAATAGGATTTCACACACACGACACAATAACAACAGGGATCAACGTGCGGCACTGCTCCCATTACTGCGTGCATTGAAAAAGCAGAACTAATACTCAGGTACGTTGTCAACATACTCGCGATCTACTATACCATACTACTGATCCTAATCGCTGTTCCGTATCATCGTAGCGTCTAGTCAACCTACTATTCATAGTAGTCTACCTTGCCCACTTCTGCTTACAAGGCGCTGTCGTTGGTAATCAGCGTTTCGAAAGCTGCGCCGTCTATTTGTGAAAATAGTTAGATCGACTAAGTTTCACTGCAGAGCACTTGAAATCGGGACGGTCGTTACAAACACTACATCTGGAAATTACTATCTTAGCACGTTTTCAACCATGTGACTGTAAAAGAGGCAAAGAGGACTCTGTATGTACAGGTTCAACTTTGCAAAACATAACGCCTCTCTCTTCCGCTATTAGAATATGAAGCAGAATTTATGGAGCACGCTTATTAGTAAAATATGCGTACTACGCGCTGGGCAAGCGCCCATTATAACTTTTTCTATAGAGAGAATTGCTTCATTAGGAGATAATGTGTTATGATAAATTATTTTTATATGCTATTTAGCTAAAGACCCCCTTTCCCAGAAGAAAACGGCGCGCAGCCATATACACTGGCTGGTCCGTCTATCGACTTGCAAGCCGCTAACTATTCGTTGTGAGGTACGGGGACTTCTCTGCGGGACAGCCATATAGTGCCAGGACATTGTTTCTCTAGCGTCTTGCGTTACTTCAAGCACCGCAATGACCCAGCGGGTAAATGACTTCAACGGTTTGCAATAACCGCCCATAGTTAGCACACGGACAGCTGTCCTCTGGCTTTCAAACAAGATTAGCGCGCGAGCATAATCGTATCGTACGTTGCGCCACTGAACAGAACATATCGGTGGGCTTATTGCATCATTAGAAAAAAATGCACAAACATAGCGGGGGAAGGGGTTAAGTCATAATTCTTGAACGGTGTAAGTGCTCAATACCGCGTGTTCAAAACATCGGAATTTGATACCTGATAAAATCTGTCTTCTCCGCTTTCAGAGTTCCAATAGGAAGGTCCTTGATTTCTAGGATGAGAGCCTTAAGTTTCCTTTCCTTCATTAGGACGACTTTTTTTCTGCATATCTTCTGAACGGAACGGTGCCGGTCCAGGAGTTTAGCGACATTATTCAATTTCTGTTAACTAACAAAGATTGATCTCTTGCAATGCTTTCAAAAGTTAGGCGCGCTAAACAAACGATAGCAGTGTTCTATTCCTTCGGTGAAGTTATATACATTGTCGTGATCCCGTATCTATGTATCGTTGAAAAGCTTTATTTAGTTAAGAAATAAAGTAGTCTATACGGGAAGCGACAGCTCTGTTCTGCTCCGCGCAGCTTATCAACGATAACGCGGAGAAGTCTGTTCCCTAGTTTCCAAAACGCGAAAGGCTAGACGTATAAATGCGGTCAGGAACAATTTCTTCTACGTACACCATACATACAATTCGGGTGCGTCGCAGTTCATTTTCATAGTGTCTTTAATTTACAATGAAATTTGCGAGTGATAAATGTGTAGCTTTACGTATCACTAATACGAGATATAGCTAGTCAGATTCCTCGAAAATTCACGCACAAATTCCACGTTCTGTTCTTAATTAAAATTAATTTTGCCTTGCAGCGGTTGAGCGTCTAAAGCGTTACCCAGAGAATGAGCGTCTGATTGCATCAATTCCTTCTCGAATATATGAAGTTATCTATCCCGTGCAGGTGAGGCACCATCAAAAAGTCGGAATCTCAACGCGAGACGTCAGCTCGAACAAGGTAAGTGTATGATTTATTCATTGCCCCTTGTAGCAACTGAAAGTTTTGCATGGTCATCAGTGGAAGGAAATTCAGGTCTTTTTTTATATTTCTTTGTGCAAAGTTACTGTCTTTTTACATTTTACAATTTTTGCTATAGCTTTAAGTCTCAAGCAATTGATCAGCCAACTTGTTATTCGACAGTTGTACCGTGTACAGATGCTCGTTATGCGTCATATTCACCTAATAAAATTTAGATCAGTCGTAACTAGAATTTCTATTATGATTGTTACCTTTTGTTGTTGTTAACTCTTTCATTTAAAAAAGTGTTAACAATGAAATGATTCAGCATATCGGTATCGCTACGACAGAATATGTCAGCTAGGTGTACACAAAGTAGCACCATATCGATTTGCCCCTTTGAAAATCGAAAAAGGTAGAAACAGTAACAGATAAAGCCTTAACACATCGTTCTGCTTCTAGTAATTGAAGTAATTCAGCTGTTTTAATTCTAAGCCTGGTAACTGTGTCTTCAATCGATCTTAGTTTTGTATTCCTAGTGTTTCACACAGTTCGTAAATGATATTACTAAAATACACACCACGAACACTGCCTGTACTCTATGAATATGCGTTCCAGACGATGCGTACATCCTCTCAAATCTCGAGGTAAAAATCATAGAGCTTCGACTGCTATTGAATTACTAACTTGGTCGGCACTCCCTGTCCGAGCATTAGGCTAGTTAATACGAAGTCACTGTGCTTGCCTAAATCGTGAGTCTTCTAGTATAATGAAGGTAAACGCGTACACGAGAATAAGAAAACGCGCTCCTGCAATACTTAAATCAGCCTATTCATCCGTAAAGCATGCACGTTCCGAGCTACAGCCCGCCTTGGAGCGTAAACGTAGCTGGGACTTCCGTGCCCCAGGTGAAGTGCTTAGCTCAACCTCTTCTCGATAGCGAGAGGTTAAGTGCCAGTGACTAGGGTTAGTTGCATCAGGTAAGGATTGCGGGGCTCGTGGGGTGGTACTTTCAAAGTCATCCAATGAATAGCTGACATCGACCAACATAGGAGGTGGCCCACCCCAGAATGCTTAATGAGAATAATAAACATCTTTTTTTTACTTCGCGTTGCATGTCTTTGCTTGCAGAAGAGACAAACTGCAACTCCTAAAGCTAAGGCATTTGGCCGCGTTTGTTCGGAGTGCAAAAAAACGCGCGAGTAAATCACGAAAATTGTGGATTCGACTGAGGAGGACAATTGTTACTGTGATAAATTTCAGTCTCGAAATGAATGTGGCGTCCACTTGGTACCATAGCCTAAATTAGTTTCAAGTAGTTACTTTCATAATCTGACATTACTTACCACCGTATCTGTTGATATTTTTGCCAAAACCCCTGTGTATTTCGAATTGAAAAAATATAAACGTTTTTTTTTGTTTCTTTTTAAACATTCATCGTTAGAAAAATGACAACGAAGGTCGCCATTTTTTCTGTATCGATACAAAAACGTTGTGTCGCGTAAGCCTATCAATTTTTCAGATGGATGCGTACGGTTCCTAGTCTGAACGATCATAAAAAGCACCTAATGTTTACGAAATCTCGATAAATACATACCTTAGGTATATAGTGTTTTTCTTTGAACTCGCTAAATGAAAAATGACTCTATCGAAAGAAGTGGACCAGAACATTTGCCCGCTATATCAGCAGCGAGCAGTACTCGACTATCTATTCGCTTGCGTAAACCGTAGCAGCGATGGTACAAAGAACGAATGCTGAATGAATCTCAGAATAGCAGACGACGCTAGTTGAAATTCTTACGTGTGATACATAACTTGAACTGACGAACTATATCAAGTATTAATAACAAATAATAATCAATATTGCCGTCCAAAGATTCTCATTTCGAAAGAGGCTCAGCTCCATATAGAATATAGCTTATTATAAAATGAGAAACTTTTTACCGCTTAACAAAAGCAGCTAATTTAGAGGATTCGTTGATGAGTCTCACACCACTCCATGTATATAAAACATAATAATCTACCATGTAGTACACGACGGATGCACAAAATTGGTGAAGCACGTTCCTATTTGACCCTATCCCAAATTTTTAATACTTTTTTTAGCGCTAGTGGCAATTGCTCTGCAATAAAAGCTCGCGCAATTTTCGTTCGCGCACCATTGTCAAAGTCGATATCAATCCGGGACTGATTTGAGCAGCAAGTTTCGCTGATATGTTGCCTAGCGGTCTTAGATATATTATGTATTCATGTATTTAATTAGTTACAGGTATTCACACCTGATACACACTAAAGGATCTTGTGAAATCGAATGTTCCATGTAAACCATATGAAAACAAACGGCCTCGCATTTCGGGAAAGTTTACAGTCACTGCAAACAAGCCCACAACAAGAAATTAGGTTGTAACGCAAAGAAGCGGTTCTTTACATGAATAGTAGTTAATAACGAAACAGACGAACTGTGTGTCGCTATGTGATCCATTCCAGACGACAAAACACTACCATCAAACATCGTTACTTATTAAAGCGTTTCATTACAAGTTCCGATTGGAACTCGAGCTCAATGATAACCTCATCAAGTCAAGCATCCCTCAGAAACATCTTATGCCCAACGGGAACTGGCGAGTAAGTATGAAGCATCATGTTGTAGCTAGATGTCACAGGTAAATAACGTATGTATTTTATTTTCGAAGTTTCGAAAATCCGAAGAAAAGCTTGAGGAAAATAGATCTACTTATAGGTAGCGTTCTTTATTACAAGTCAACTGAAGCATAACTATCATGTAGCGAGCTGTTGTAGTAAAAAGAAACGAGCCAAGAAAAACAAAACGACCGATCACCAGTGGAAACGAAAGCTGTCTTGTGATTATATGGGGAACCCAAAAAGCTTTATGATTTCAAATAAATCATATTACATATATTATATACTTCATTTTCGAAAAGTATGGCCTCTCTGCGGATGATGGATATAGGATTGGTGTAGACTAAGTAGCTTGTACATCAATCAGTCTGAAGGTCATTTACGGTATTCTAGGTACACGAATATGAGATTGAAAATACGACTGTAAGCATATGATTATTAATAACAGTTCGAAGTGTGGCCGACTAATCGTCTACCATCTCATATCAAATCGCAGCGAACTCACCAGGAGATAGAGCACTGTTATTATCATGGCATCGTGAAAGACTATCCTGGTGCACTGGCTGCGTTTCGAACCTGCAACGGTATTAGCGGAGTGATTCACATTGCAAACGAGACCTTCGTCATTCATCCCTTCTACGGCGGAGATTTATCGGTAAATAATAACGCAGTGCTCAAAACCTTTGTGCATAGCCTTTATCTTGGACAATAGGTAATTTTGGAAAAGACTGGCTTTCGCATTTCGTGAAACTATAGGCTATCTTGGTATCGTTCCATCGAAACGAATCAATGCTAAAATGAATGGCTGGAGAATGGACACAGTTGAGATCCCTTGCCAGATCTCTCCAATTCTAGCATGCACACAGACGCAAAGATACCGTCTTGTTGAGCATTGCAAGCCAGCCTAGGAACTTCTTGTCGCGTGAAAAGGGTCAGCCTTTACTTGTTCTGCCTATCGCAATTGACAGTAGCTGCGCATTTACGGATATTAGCGATCCATAATCATAATAACATTGAGTACTAAGTTTTGAAAGAAACAATCTTCCACATGAAAAGCTATTTCCAAAACGTAAAAACGCCTATAACATCTGAGAGACGAGTATAGTATTACTCTGAGACCCACTGAGACCCATATGAACAAATGAAGCTAGCATGGCAAATATTGAATGTAACTTAAATTGATAATATGGACGTTCGTACGCGGATCCAACTTACAGATCACGTTTACCTCTCTGGAGTAAAATGTATAGCTTCTTTTCTCTTTCTTATGAGACTGTCGTAAATCTACTGTACGGTCTTTTTTATCTTAGGTAGCACCCCATCCGATGTTCTTACATAGTATCATCTTTATTTTCTTTATTATGTCGCAAATTTTTTTTACATTTACAAGAGTGACGAGAAACATGAATGAAATTTTTTTAAGTTAACCTGAATACGCACGTTAAAAGGCTTTTGCGTTTGGCCTTGCAAGAGTGCGAACACCTAAAAAACAAAGAACTAGATAGTTCATTCATATAATAAGATTCAAATGATTATTTATTGCTTAGAATATAACGGTAATGTCGTTTTAGCAATGCTACTATAATGGGGTACCTCGCAGTTCTGACAATGCCAATGCTTCATTATGTAAAGCATTACCGTAGAACATGTAGGACATTTACTTAAGTACGTTTTCATTCTATTGGCTTATCACAGGGAGTGTTGTATGGGCATCAGATGTGTGCCAATTTCATTTAGTAGAGTTGCGATACGCAACATAAAACAAATAATAATGCTACTGTTCTACCGGTGATTTTTGCCAAGCAGATCGTCAAAATAGATTTTAATAAAATCTTTCTACAAAGAATCAAATCAAATTAATTTTTTTTTATCTTACCTCAAACCACGTTCTATCAAATTGTGAGGGAGGGGCAAGGTTACCTCTTGCCTCAAGTATTCGAATAAAATTTCGCAGCACTCCCAAGAAATTCTCATGTCTTACCCACATACGACTTGCATACATGGATAAGGAAATGACATGAGATTTATATAGTTCCAGGCAGGTAGACACACAGAGGCAGCAAAGAAAGCGGCTTCAATATCTGACATCATACCAATACGTTTTCCCTAGCCGCAAAATTGGCTTTGTCACTGAACGGAAGCGATAACCAAGCTCAAAGATCTCCAGCCATATTTATTCAAACTAAGATTTTATTTTGAAGACGAAAATTCAATAGCCAGTTTCCACGACGCAGGTGCATTACGTTTCATTTATGAACTGAAGGTTTAAGCTCCGATCGAATGTTGACCAATGCGGAAATGAGTCGGCAGCGTTATAAGAAGTTTCACAATCTTTACTGCTCTAATTGAAAATCAGCAGCTTGACATGATCAGCCTAAAACTCGCAGTGGACTGGCTTAGCGATAGTCTCAGTAAAAAACATCAACAAAACATTTCCTGTCACGACTCCCTAAGGGTATTCAGTGAAAGAAAGTTCTCTAAGCGAAAACAACTATTTGATTTTGATTACAAATCGTCTTCTGCGCAGCCAAAGTTTTATGGCACACAACAACATCTATAATCCATAAAAGGCCAAACGAATACGCCATTTTTATGCCGCATCACCCACGAGGCACCCTTAAACCCCTTGTCTCATGCATCAGGAATGTTGTCATTGATAGCGAAAGCGTTGTTGTACAGAAAACCGTTGTCGGTGGAGAGATTCTTGCGATCGACGTACTGAGGTAACTAGATTTCGAACCTTCGCAACTAAGGTCATAGCGTAACAAAAAACCGTTTTGTCGGTTTACAGCTAACAGCAGACAGATACCCACAACTGGCTGTGCCCGCATTTCTTTACTTTTACGTAATGAGACGATCCATTCCTGGAAGCATAGTATGGAAACCCTCATTTCTTCCAGAAAACGCTATATGATGTACCCTTAGGGTTAAGTCGGTATAGCTCTGTGAATAAAATTTCGACAGAAGTTACAAAAAGAGCGCAGCCCGGTGTTTGATTGAGGTTTTTTAGATTAAACGTGATATGTTTGGACAGGTCTATTTCGTTTACACGCCGCATGTTATTTCAGCAGGAGACGGTTACTGTGGACGCCGTAATTGGATTAACCGCTTTGTATACCATATAGACGTCTTCACACACCAAATATGATTTCTTTGGATCGTTGGCCGCCTAAATGCCATCGGTGGTAATCAACATAAACAGATAGCCCTATATGGGTGTTTACTCTAAATGCCCTGTGTGTAGAAAGCCTGTAACCCTCCATGATTGTGTCGTTTGTTTTGTACTATCAGGATGCAGAGATGTAATTCTCAATATAATGGTGCCAAAGCACAGAAATTAGTTAACAATGCCGAGCATTCTTTCATAGAAGGTGCTGTAAATGGCGTCAATATTGGGTGAGTCAGCAAGTGAGTGATTCCAGTCCGTAAATAGAAAAGCTTCACCACTGCTGTCATAATTCGCCGGCCAGTTCCAATCGAGGCATATAGGCAAGTATCGACCAAGCAAATCGTAATTATAAGATAGTCCTGTTTTACAAAACTTGCAAAAACGTAAAAGTCTTTAGCATAACTTTGTCAGACCATAGAACGAGGTTGGAAATCGTCCCGCTCTTTAAACGAATAGGGTTAATTTGTAACTACTGGAGGCCATCTAAAACGATAGAGAATTAAAAAATTTTCATGTTGTATTCAAGCGGTTTCTCAGCAACAAGTACTCCAAGTGTGGCCACTCAACTTTTTTGAATCCCAGTAAGATTCTCTATGCTAATAGGTACAGTTACGTTCGGTACCAAGTAAGTGAAAAAAGCACAAAAAAAAAAACGTTAATTTCCTTTTATAACGTTAGTACAAACAAGGTCGTAACTTTTACAATTCAGTTTAACAGAGCAGCATCTAGTTTCACATTTTGACTTCTACCGGTCAAAATCTTTCTTTTCAACGGACTTCCGAATACGTAACCATAAAAGAATTCCATATCAGTAATCTACTTAGTCAACCAAGTCTTAGCCACGCACAAAATGCCACGTCCCTACATTCGTGAGACTACATGAGTGCAAAACTTGCGCCAGTTTTAGCTTTAGCTAGCGACCTAACATTAAGGCAAAAGAATTTACTGCGTCGCAACGTTAATGCGAAACAAAGCGGTAGGTGAACCTTCCATTATGTGTATATTTCTGTATGAATCAATGACGGTAATATTTTCTTAGAACCCCTAAATTCTCAACTTCCGAATTCCTGGAAACTGCCGCGAAACAGAATTCATAAAATAGGTACACAAAGGGAAGCAGCGTGATAGTTTATTTTACTACGTAAATTATTAGCTCTTACCTAGAACACCTATAATCAACCCGAAGGCGGAAACCCATAGACGATGTAACCAGTTCAAGCACATTCCCTACATCGGCATGCGCATCTATGGATAAAACTAACGCTAAAATAATAGCTAAAAAAATGTTGATGTTCTCATATTGTTATCGAAAAAAATGTTTCTAACCGGCTTTTAAAGTCACGTATTTCAAGTAGTATGATTTATGTCGGGTCGGTGCTCTTATCATTCAAAAGCTGAGATTCGGCAGTAGGATATGCGAAAATTCGCTGAAATGTCGTGATAAAAATTAAGATCTTGTACGACGCCTTGAAAATCAGCTAAATTAATGCAAAAATGTACTTAATTTTACAATTTTGCTACAAGACAGGTACAAACACTGTACAAGCTCATGAAAAATGTATGCTATTTAAAAGATGCGTTACTGAAAAAAACGGCTTAAATATGCTTCTACTGCTTTCGTCCTGATGATTTCGATATGAAAGACGCTTTTAGCAATGATCAACCAATTAGTCGATGAACTTATTTTAAAAGTTGAGCAAAATTGTCACGTGTGTTCATGATACCGCAAAGGAAATCAACACTCATTAACAAACAAAGCATTTGAAAACCGTTGGTTACAAAAAACTCAATGTTTGAGTGTCACACGAATTTACGCAAAGGGATTTACTTTATCATATTTGCATGTGCGAAATGTTTGGAGTTTTACAATCGGTATCACCGTTAGGCATCCCATCCGACGGCTGGTTCCCAGCACGTAATCAAGTGTGTATATGCATTTGCGAAAACTACCGAAACGGAACGAAATCGAGCAATTTCTAAAGCAGTGGATCACGAGTGATGAAAGCAGAAGCACATACGAAACATTTGGTGAAATTAAAAAGGAATCGTGCATTGTTCGTTATTGCTGCCTAACAAACTGGTTGATTTAAACCTCTACCGTCAGCAATTAATGGAATAACAACAAGACATTAAAAGCGATCAAAACCAGTGAATAGAAAGGGCGTCATTTTTCAGCATTACAACGCCAGGCTAAGCACATCTTTATGTACTGGATGAAAATAGAAAAAAATTTGGCTGAGAAGCTTTAATGCATCCACCGTATAGCACAAATCTTGCACAATAAGAGTATCATCTGTTCGGGTCTCTGCAGAATTCCTTTTATGGTGTTAATTTAACATAAATGGTGTGGTGCAAAAATCTTTCGACCCCATTTTTGGTCCAGAAACCTCAGAAGCTCTGCAGTGATGAACTTATGTGTTACCAGAAAAATGACAGAAGGTAATCGACTGAAAGAACACAGTTTAGCAATTTTATTTTAAAATTTCAAAATAGTTGTTTTAGTTTCGGTTTGAAAACGGTCGATATTTTTCGACAACCAAATATATATATATATATATATATATATATATATCATCATTCTAATCCAACAATGTAAAAAGATGCAGATATATACATACACAGTCTACGCCCTTTCGTAATAATTGTTTGTTTTGCAAGATATCTTTATGGCGTGTCTGTTAACAATCGTGTCCGAGTGCTTGGCAGTTACGTTAAAGCCTTGCTACTAGAAGGAGAGCTGAAGCTATTTGACAGAGGTGTCGAAACCGGGAACAGACAAGCCGGCAACAAAAGTGAATCGAGAAAAGAAAAGCGATGTGCTCGGTTCTGTTTTTACGAGCTCTAATCGGAGGAAGCTAATCTTGCGGTAGTAGTACACGTTTACCAATCTTCGATCTTCCGCTTCAAAAGTTAAGTAAGCGCTGCTGGATCCGTCTATCGCTTCAGCATCCCGATCTACGCTTTGTCTATCCATTAATGTCAAACGCAGGTACGGATCGCGATAACGATAACGGTAATGGCCAGCGACGATCATGATAAAAACACTACACCACACTTTGAATAAATATTTTTTATTGACAAAAGTTACTATCGGGTGGTAATTTCATTGACCTTGTTTTCAAGAAATACGTGACTTTTTTGCTATAGTATTTTCTCAGCAATAATGTTAACGACTTAGCAAGCAACCGAGCCGATCACCTATAAACAACTCAAAACCACCACTAATGAAAATGATTTTAATGTCACTTCTATTATATCGAATGACTACCACTTCAATCAAAAAGTTTACCTTGGATTTCCTGCTTTGAAGAACGTGTAAAAAATTAAACAACAGGACTAAAAAACTGATATAAGATTTCCAGCGCACCTATTTTATCAGACTAGCTTAGTTTAATATGAATTGACTGAAGGGTATAATACAGACAATTACAGCGAAATAACACCACAAACCAATATTCTTAGCTGGCTGAACATGCGGTAATGTCTAATAAGGCTAAGAACACGGGTTTTAATGACGGTACGGTGATGTACGGTAAAAATTTAGATTGCGTAAAAAAACGCCAACACAAATATTGATAACTTTCGTGTTTTTCTTTTACTATGAATTGTATTAATGATATCGCACACAGCATATCACTATTAACTATATACAGGATGATCAATCAGAACATAGTTTGCCTTTCAAACTCGAACCGGCTTCTACGTAGTTTTGAAAGATGGACTGAATCAAGGGTTGATTCAGCATATGCAGCCCGTTAGAAATAAAGGGCAAATATTTTCCGATTCCTCAGTTCTGAACACAGTCACAACGTTCATTAATATACACAGGCTTCTAAAGACCACAGAGATAAACGTTCCTACATACCTACGCGATCGCCTATAAACAAAACTAGCTTTGAATAACTTAATAGTCTCACACATTCTTAATTTGTACATCCATCGTGACGTCGATGTTATTACACTACCTATGTTACATCGAATTACCAATAATTCAGCACTGAACACCGTGATGTCCTTCATATTCTGAGGACGTTGCCTGCCATCGCGCGATATAAACAAGGTGTTCGAAAAATTTGTAGCTACCTGCTGGCTGTCATTATAAGTTAAGCTTTGTGACTGTGCGTTCCAGTCACTAGTCCGGCAGTTGCCCCAAGCTTGCGGAGTTTTCGTTCGTAAACGAGCCTACTCCAAACACCCAAAATCATGTTTTTCAGTCTAGGGTCGCGCTGACCTTCAGTGGTGTGAACAAATCTCCACTGATATGTAAGTATCTGCCGGCTCAAGCGCAATTGTCCATGCTGTATGGCACTCATTGCCAGAAATATCCAACAGCGGCACACCTGCGCATACAACGGCTAACTGGTTAGGTTTTTGTGCTCGTTACCTGGGGAAGTTGGAACGATTCTTCGTTCTAGTGTTATACATTTTCTTGCATTAAAAAGGGTTTACAAGATTGCGGAAGACATACCTGCGTAGGGTCGCCTAAACGGGCCGCCAATTGAAGTTGCTTTGCAGAAATCTGTTTTGCGACCCCCTTCGCTCGATCGCAATAGTCGCCCATCGCGGAGTATGCTCCGCCCAATGTTGATAACCAAGCCATTACCTGTCACCATGAAAAATTGATATGTTCAAAAATTGACGAAATTGAACACAACATTATTTGAGTATACGATGAACACTATATCATTCGTTCACCTTGCAGTTATGAGCACTAAACTACATGAAGTACATTAGACCAAAGGTTGAATATACATATAAATTCTAATTGAAACTTCGGGATGTTACTTCCATGGCCCCATGCTATTCTAATACCACGGAAGCGAAAGATTACAAGCTTTCTTGCCATTTACCTCGTACACATGAATAAACTCATTAATAAGGGCTACTATTCGGCGATACCAAGCGATGTGGATAGGTGGTTGAGGAACCGCATAGATGACAAACACCAAAAAATCAATGCCATCTGATTTTACGTAAGAAGTTGGCTGACAATCTAAGACGACCCGTTTTTCCCAACGACTAGAAAAATTATTCAGCATATTCTGCCAGAAAGCAGGCGCTAACAGACAGCGTACAAATTTGAAGAAGCATTCAGGGTCAACAGGTTTTTTGCGGAAAAGTCCAATGCTTTTTCTGCAATACAAGTAGAAAGCGTTGTTAGTTAAGATCAGTGCATTTTTGGTGTACAACATCAGCAGACGCACTTTTTTCCAGTATTCCACAAGTACAGAAATAAAATTTCACTGATTTACAATCTTTCGATTCATTATAGAATCAAGTCTTTAAACAGACTTTAATCAAACTTAACTATAAAAAGGGTATCTTGTGAACGGCATTTAGATGCCCAGCATAAGATGCAGCTTAAGCTGGTGCATGGAAATACCGTTCCGAGCCTTGTTAACGACCCTAGAATACTTAATAACGCATACTGTTTCTAATGTTGTGCTGCTAAACAATATATTATAACAATGTCAAATGTTCCCCAGTTACGGAACTCACCTTCGACCCCTTTTAGGCGATTTGACAATCAAATCTAACGCGCTTAGTTCTGGTGTCCATGTGTAGCTAAGGTACATTGGAATGCAAAAGTTGACAAATTTTCTGATCTGAAAAAAAATCATCACACAAAGAGATTGGTTTCCCTAAACTGTATCGACTCTAGCAGCTGTGCTTTCGGTAAACATACCCAGCTCATTTAAGAGATATCATAATACATGATCCCTTAAAACACAGACGGAATTGTTGACACCCAATTTAAATTACCTTAAGCTTTTCGGTACCAGGAACGGAAATTAGTTCGCAATGGAAGCTTGTATCCCAATTACACTTGACCGTCACTAGCATCTTCACATCTGAAATAGCATAACATCACAATGCTAAACGACTATTTAAACTGCATTGCAGATTTTTCGCTAATCTTCAACAAACATTCGCAGTACTCTACTACTGTTTTTGTGTTCACATAATGGAAATAAGAATATAGTTTATCTAAATATTCAAACCCAAGCATTCTGTACGTAGAACCAGAAGCTATGCCCAGGAATCAACAAGTATAACCTCATAATCGATTGAAACTTGCTAAGCAAGGTCATCCGGGTTTAATTTAAACAGAAAGGTGACATAGAAATGTTAATCGAATTTGAAATAGATAATTAGCGACTTTTTTAAACGAAATTCGAGTTTACTTCTAAACCAACACAGTTATGTATATCAAAATCTCACAAAAACTGCAGTTGATTCTATGCATCTAGCCGGCAAGTTTCCTTCTCTTGAACGGAAACCGGTGTCTTTTGACAGATAAAAACCCGTAAAAGGCAAAACCTTCAATACAACAGAGCTTGAAAAAGGACGTTTTCGCACCTGGCCACTTGCTTGACACATGAATAAGGTTCCGTCTAAAAATTCAACAAGTCTAGTGTGATCAAATTGAAGGAACAAACTCGCATTGATCCTCTCACTAATAAAACATTACTCCCACAAAATAACACTACCGTGAGCATGTAATAGTCGTATTCTGACTCAACGTTCTGGCTTAAACCGTGAACAGCGTCTTTCGTCCGTCAGTGCTCTGACCGCAGTTCTGTAGAGAGGGTAGATTTCTGTAGCAGACAACTCCCGCGCTCAAATACAGAATGAACGCATTCGGGTGAAGTAAGGCGGAAGAGCGGCTCCGGGCGGTTAGACTAAGATACTCAAAGAAATGTAAGTTTCTGTTTTACATTCCTTGAACGACGTTAGCTTGATATAGTCGCCATATGATAAACATAATCAAACCTAACGGTCAAGTCTAATAGTGTCGTGTTAATCAAGCCCTAGAGTTTTTTACATTTTTTCTATAGAAAGTAAAGCGAAACGCAGTATATAGAGTCCTACATAATACGAGAGATTTTTTGCAACGGTCATCCAAAAAACGGAACAAAAATGTAATGCGTAAGGCCTCTTTACAATAATAACACACTAATTTTCAAAGAGGGTTTATTAGTAATACTGTTTTTGCATGACGGAAAACCACCAGGGATAAGCTTATTTTATGTGGGCTGAGTGTAGGGTTAAACCTCAACGGTTGCTACCTTTTCTGCGGAGACCATTGCCCACTGATTGCATATTTGCCATTTGTGCTTCACTTCGCTAAGCCCGATTTTCGTTTTACAATATTGCAAGTTCGTAGGAAAAAGTGGCAAGTGCCTCTCCATTCGGATGAATTCGGAAGTCATTTAGGTGGGGTCACATATCGTGTTCCCTAACTCACCAATAAAAGCGTTTTTTTATTCGGTCACAACTACCATACAAAATTTGTCATTGGCCCTGACTTCCTCAGATAGAGTTCAGCAATACAATAACAAAAATTCATAACAACACACCAGTATGGTGTATATACCGTACGTGCTAGTATGACTTTTTACTAGATTATATATAAAAAAAAACGTGTTGTTTGTAACTTAATTCAGATTACAAAATAGATGAATACCTTTGAATCTACCGAAATCATTTTAACCAAGTAGTAGAATTACTTGGAGATAAGTTAACCATCCTCTAGGTATTTTGCCTTTTTGCCAGTAAGGTATTAGACCAGGCTGTGTGGTAAACAGTTTTATTCAAATATGCTTGAGTTTGGGAAAAACGTGGTCTAACCGCATGCATAGTTTTACTTTGTAGATAGTTTACAATTAAGAATGAAATACCTATTTTCTGAAGGATGCATATGGCTCTAGCTAGGCTTAGAGAGCACGTTTTTCCCATACACCCACAGATTTTAGCCGCAGCAAATGTCTTGCACAAACGACGAGCCGTCTTGGCCAAGCGAATATAAATGAGCGCTAAGTTTGAATATTTGCATGAACGCAACTAATACGCAATGACAACAATAGACGCAATGTTAACAATAGTTAACAATAATAATGTTAGCGATAACGTTCATGGACAACGTTTTTCGATTTCAGAGAATCCATCCTCACGTAATATACAAGTACTACAACACCAATCTAACTCAATATATTTGTGGTAAGTAGATACATTAAACGTCGCCAGCTGGCATTCCGTGGCCAGCACGGCCTGCCTGTAAACGCTGCTGCTACGCATATTTCGTAGATTGGACGAAATATATTTTCCGTTGTTTGTCTCGCCAGTATCTTTTATATAAACACAGGCTGTGTCTTTTATCGTCTCAACCACAACTAGCTAGAAACTGCCTCTCATATCTTTTATTCAATCAAGGCACGTAGACTATATTCTAGTTAAAAAAAAAAGCGATCAAAACGTGAGATTGATAGGTATTCGTGAACAAATCGAAGTAGAATTTATGGCAAAAACACATGATCATTATAGATTTCGATTAATAGAACGGAAGCTTGTGGTTCTGCAGGTAACTCGAAGATGCATCAATGGGGCTTTAAACATTTTCGAAAGTTGCACCCACCTTCGCGCTATAAGGTATTGTTCAATTCAAATAGCTTAGCCCATTTCAACTCTGTAGCTCTATGAGAGATTTCGATATGAACAGTATCCAAAAATATAGCTAGCGTTAACTCAGCCGCTAGTCGGAAATGACGTACTTTGTGCCCGTTTTTACGCAAGGGTACGTACTAATTATGTCTAACAGCGCATCGACCCTTAACTGTAATTATCAATGGCACAAGCGATCGAATATTACGACGCACAGATCGGGTGCTCCTATAAAAACGTTTGCCATATATCGCTCTGGATGTGAGTTTCGATCGTGCCTTCGTCCTATATTATTGCTGCTGCTGCTATGAGATCTGTGTCAGAAAAAATCGTCACAAATTTTATCTACTATAACGTATAGTTAAATTACATTGTATTTAATTATAGTTTTTATTAACAGAAACCTATTCGCCTATTATTTGTCAGAATCTATTCTTCGCGACATCCACCGAAGAGGTACAATAATAAACTGATATATTTAGTACGTTTGTCAATTATGCGTGCGTGTAAAAAAATCTCATTGGATGCTGCCTGCACTTAGAAACAGTTGTAGTGAGTGACTAAAAATCTTTGATTTTTTTATTTATTAGTTAATTTATATATGATAACTAAACGTCCCCATCCCACTATAGGTAAGCTGTGTATTTCGGAACAAACATTCTAAATCATGTTTGTTTAGACTGCTAGTGACTGTGGACTAGAATTAGAATTATCGCAGTTTGTGTTCTGTCGACCACTAGACCTAGATTTTCTGTTTCTGTAAACCCGGCTCGTCTATTCCGGCTAATTTTTTTCCATGTTCGGGTTTTTCTACACAAATGCCAAATTGTATGTATATATCATACGTGCTTCCAGCATTATAAAAATGAAACATGAATATATCTATCTTTCGATAGGAGTTTGGTAACGTTGATGACTTACGAACTCTAAATAGGGGATACCGTAGAGTAGTTTACTAGATGAATGCTAACTAAAAATGTTTGGCCTCGTGATCAGCAGATAAATCCTAAGCTTTGCAAGCCTAAAAAGGTCCTAACATACATTTTTCAGCGAGATGTCCGAGAAGTGACGAAGTACATCGAACTCGCCCTGGTGCTCGACAAGGCAATGGTATGTGATTCATCTATCTCTTAGTATAGCTAAGCTTTAAACTACGTAGTAATTAATCATTCGTCATTATACGTGAATGCTTTGGGAATGAATTGTTCCCGGGCTTCAATTTTCAAAAAGGCACAGTACCAACCTCATTCTACAGAACTTCTACGTCAATATATAAAATACGTTAATTTCCTTGTGTATTTTCAGTTCGATGTGCGGAATGTCACACAGACTGAAGTGATGGCCGATGCCATCCAGATCATCAACTGCGTGGATATGGTAAGCAGCTGTAGGGAACAAACGAATGACGAAGTAGATGGTATCCAATCGGCGATTCAAAGGATAGTTATCTTGAGATTAAGAGCAATAAGTGTTCTATTTTCTACCTTGTTCTATTTTCAGTATTTTCGCCAGTTGCTCACCCGAGTGTCCATAGTGTATATTGAGACGTGGCAGGGTGGGGACCAGATTGAGAAAAGCACAGATATCAAACAAACCCTAATCAGTTTCCTCGATTATTCCTCGAAAAATCTCTACCAGCAACATTCTGATGCACGTCACCTTCTCACGTACGTGAAGATACCGACGCATAGCTATACGACGCTATAATGACGGTCTTCTCAATACAATCACTTGAGTCAACTTAGCGTTGTCCGTTCACAAAACAGTCGCACGGGCATAGTGTCATAACGATGTTATATTAAATGCAATACAGCCAGGATAAAAACTGAGTCGTAAAGTAGTGGCTTTTGGAGTTTCGTTTCAAATTAAAGTTCGTGTTATTGTGACCAATCTTTATGTGTTCTTTTGCTTTGTGCTACAATTGATTTGACGGAGGCTGAGAGCACATTTTTCCACACTGAGAGCGTATCTTAGATAGCGATGTTAAATAACAATTTTCTTTTTTCGATGTCGTCAGTTGTCTATCGCTTACTTCGTCCCGATAGCTTAATAGCGTACTGAGTATTAAGACAATGTTTAATTAGAATCCTGTATGATAATCGTAGCCTCTGGTGTGTCAAATTTACGAGTCTCACCCGTTTTCGAATGTTCTGCAGTGGGAAGTCTCCGTGCAAGATGGCGTCCGCCCCGGGCAGTCTTGGCGCCTGCTCTGGTCAGCAAGAAGTTGGCATGGCCATCCCCGACACCATATGCACTGCGAAGGCAGTAGGTCAGTATGAATAGCGCGTCGAGTATATTATAGAGTATATGTTAAATGGGTCCGTCTCAGACTCAGTATAATTCTCAGTTGAGCAAGATATTTCACTATTTTCTATTAATCTGTCCAGGTGGTAAAACCGGAAATATACAACAACACACGAAATTGAATTAATCATGACCGGTTTAGTCGAAATAAGGACACGTACGGATACGAAGTTTCCTTTGAGAGTAGATTCAGTTTTCCATTACAACGCTTATTGACTTGAGTTTGCTGAGTGGTATTAATTGGTGACGTCTTATCTCTGAAGGTGTCAGCGAAGATACAAACGTCTACGAGCCGCATCTCGTGGCGTCCACAGTCACGCACATGCTCGGTCATAACCTGGGCATGACTCATGACACCGATAGTTGCGCCTGTGATGACTCCTGGGGTTGCATCATGACGCCCGGCATTCTCGGTAACGCCCTGGCACTTGCATATCCTTAATCCTTAGGTGTTAGAGTGATTAAAATAATTATAATAGTAACACCCGAAGAATCTTAAATATATAGATATTTTTTTAGATTTATTAAATACAATCATCAATATATTCTATGGGTGCTTTTAGCGAATCTGTTCACGAATAGATGAGGGTTGTTAATGGGCCATATTTTTCAAACGTGAGTTTGATGGTACCTATAATGGCTGTGTTAATTACTCCTAGGTCACAAGGGCTCGACGCACGTGCAGCCTTCCCATTTCTCCAAGTGCAGCTATAATGACTACATTTCGCATGTTCGTGTGGGGCACGGCGTGTGCCTCTTTAACAAACCAGGACAACTCGAGGACTTTAAGACCTGCGGGAATGGCGTTGTTGAGGAGGGAGAGCAATGCGATTGCGGTAAGCTTTAATAACTATTGAGCAAGTCAATACATCAGTCTATTTAGAGACGAAAGTCGCAGAATGACGAACGATGAACGTCGAGCTTCTAGAAGCCACTAATCATTTCAATTTAATCTCGGACCTTCAACCGTCGGCAGTCCACGCGTTGGCCCTTAGCAGTAAATTCAAACAAAAATAGATAATGCTTATTGGCCAAATGAGATGCAGGCTTCATTTTCAGATCTGTTGCATTTCATGCTTACATTATATAATTTAGCAGGGTCGCATCTTATACTTCCTACGTTTACTAAAAAAGTTAATATAAACGGAAAGCGCAAAAAGTAACACAATAGAAAATATCCGATTTTGCAATAAATACTCACCAAATTAGGCTCTCTATTTGCGATGTGCAGTTTTTCCAAGATCTGGTACTTGGTAATTTACTCGGTTTATGTGGGCTATTGAAAAAGAATTATGCCACAACTTACAGGGTCGATCGAGGAGTGCGCCAAGGTGGACCCATGTTGCGATCCTATCACGTGCCGACTCCGAATGGAGGCCAACTGCTCCGCGGGCGCGTGTTGTGATAACTGCAAGGTATCAATCATCACTTAAAGTTACCGATTAAGAAATTGCCCATGATCGCGTTGTCTGGTAGTGCCGTGTATTTGTCAATGGTTTGTGTTGACTGTGCTATAATAAATGGGCTCGTTTGCTGTTCCAGCTTCGACCGGAAGGGTATCGATGTCGGCCTGCGGAGTCAGAGTGCGATTTTCCTGAATTTTGCAACGGACGTTCCGGGGACGTGAGTAGTGCGCAGAGCTTCAAATCAGCGTAGTGAACTAGCGGTCCAAGTTTGAAAACATTCACATCGTTCATCCTACTATCTAGAGTGTTGTTATTGCTGCCCTTCTAATGTTAGTCTTCGCGTATCTTGTCCATGTCTAATTTCAGTGCCCAATGGACATTTTCCGACAGAATGGTGAAGAGTGTAAGGCTGGCGCCGGGTATTGCTTCGGTGGTCGCTGCGAGACGCCCGATGAACAGTGTGAATTCGTATGGGGCTTTGGAGCGACGAAGGCTGATGATGCCTGTTTCGAATACAATCTACAGGGAATGCAGAACGGCAACTGTGGAGAAGACTTTAACGGAGCAGGATATATCAAATGCACCCGAGAGTACGTAATCAAGCTGCACTAGAAGAAAAATCACGACGATTACGCATGGCACATAAACACAAGCTAATAATTCGACTAACACGAGCCGCGTTAGCCTGCTTTTTGATACCTATCGGCCGAATTATGTATATATATAGATGTATGTGACTCATAGCTTCACTGCAAATGGCGGAGAACCGTGATTGTTTACTCGATTTCGTTATTTTGCACGCGAACAGAGGAAACTAACTAAAACGCTCGACTATTATGATACTGTTTCAGACACATGATGTGTGGCAGCCTGCAATGTCAGCGTGGGGGCCGCACTCCAGTTCTTCCGGGCTTGGAAAAGTACACCCGCATGAACATCGCCAAAGACTCCACAGAATACGAGTGCAAGTCAGTCTCCTTTAGGGAGGAGTACGCATCACCGTTTCGCATCTATTTATTGAGATCATTTGCCCCCTCTGGTTTGAATTCATTCATCTTGTGGCAACAGTTGACGTCAACAATTCTCGTTCTAATAACGATAGCCGCCGATTTTATTCTCGCCTTTTTAGTAGGAGAACACAGTCGACCTTTACCGTACAAGTTTGTTACGCTGTTCAAAACGGCCCACTCGAAGAGTGACTATTGTTAGCAGTACGTTAGAATTAGCTAGGTGCACCTTGTTCTTTTTCTGTCATGTGGCAATCTATTTTTTCGTATTTCTCAGTGAACTCCGCTAGATGAATGCCAGTCATTGTCATTGCTATATTTTCAAAGTCCGAACGAATCGTGGTTTTCTTGTTGTTCACAGAGCGACCACGGGCAACGCTGGAGATAATGTTGAGTACGGCCTTGTATTCGACGGTACGAAGTGTGGGGAGAACGCGATCTGCGTGAATCGTACATGTCAGTCAGTTTCGCTACATCGCCCAGTTAGAGCTTGTCCTACGCGCAATGGCAAAGAGTGTTCCGGAAGCGGGCTGTGTTCCAACGCCAACATCTGCTATTGCAACGAAGGTATACTATTGCCTAAGTTAACTGTACAGTGATTAAAGCGTAGCAGAAATAATGTATTAGTCCGGACGGAGGATTCGAAGAATCCTCTTTTTACATCTGGATTCTACATCTGGATTACAGGTTACCTTTTTGTTCTTGCTGAATCGCTATTATTTTTCTTCCAGGATATGTGGGCAATGATTGCAGCACGCCGAAACAGCCCGCTAGCCCAGGCGAGGACGGCTCGGTTGACTCAGCGAATTCGGATCCGAATTCAGACAATGCCAATAATAATAATAATAATAATAATAATCTCAGTAATAAGCAGAACACGTACAACATAAAACAAGGTGGCTCCACTACGGCCAACCCTGCACAACTGCCCGGGTCCACACCTGCCGACAAGACCGGACAGAATAACAGTGGCAGTAGGTTAGCAGATCAGAAGAGCGACATTAACAGCTGGGCAATACCGTCTCCGATGGGTAGACGCCGACGTGCCGAGCGGCCTATCATTTCCTATAGAAGCGCTTTTGAAACAGCAGCAGTACACTAGCTAGTATTACGGGAGGATGTATTAGACGGGTGCCATTAATAACAGTCATTGCCTCATGCGTCGTGCGCCCTCCTGCGCTTAAAAAAAACGGCTAGCAGAAGTCAAGCAATACGCTTGTGTAAGATAGGTATCGAAAGCCTCGAGGATGTGTGCAATATGTAGACAGCTGATTATCTAAGTCTATGTAGAGATTTATATCTTCATTTAGAAAAATGCTTAGAAACAATAGTCGGTCACTTTTGGCACACTGAGTACCGTATTAGAAGGATACGCTGGGCTATTACGACACAGCCGTCCATAAGGCGAGCGTGAACGTGACGCCGACCGGACCTAAAGCTCACTCCGGTGGAAGAAAATTCATCAATGGAATTGCAGTAATTAGAGAATATGCTAGCGCCTTCACCCAGTGATGGCTCTGTGAGCTATCTAGTGGGTCTACCTTGTCATTCGTAGATTAACAAGGCTGTTTGTGAATGCCATAACGAACCCTTAACCATTTGTATTCGTTGTCGACGAAAGCTCTGCTTTGCTCAATATATGGCTGGCTTGGCATTTCGCGCTCGCGCTAGATCGAAGCTTGACAACTTCGACGAATTATTTATAAAACAAGCGATATGACTACTGTAAAATAGTTTTTGTATATTAGCACAAAAATAAGGTGCCAAGCCATACCTATGAAGAAAAATCAAATTTTTCACAAGTGCCTAGCGTTCACGCGAACCGTGTAGCTATGTTTTACGGGCTGGGCTTGAGCCATGTTCCTAGCTATACGGCTAGAATGCATGTTTTTCCATAGCTATGAACGCAACTGATCATTCGTCGGTTTAAATTGGTGTCTCTTATTACAGTCAAATCAACCAAACTAGCACGACCCAAAACCCGAACGCAAAGATCATAACTAAAAAGGGTGATGGGAGCACTTCGGTCAAGTCGGGCAACACGACAACAACTTATGTGGCAAGGAAGGTCAGTGTATCGATGTTATACTCACATCTTGGCTTCGCCGAACTGTTGTTTATCTTAACTAGCAGAAAAATCGACCCATAAGGTCGGCTTTGCATCCATATACGATATGATTCATGCATGAGCATACTGAGACCCAGCTTCGTCTCTTCATATCCTATCGCGTTTGTTGTTGTCACGATAGGACGCACTGGGAGCCCCTTCTTTAGTAATGGTACTGGTCTCGGTGGTGGGCGGCGTATTCATCTTCTTCGCCCTGCTGGCTACCTGCTACCGGAGAAGTACCATGCCCAAGCTGGAACCTTTTCAACCCATCATTCAACAGCAAACGCAGCAGCAACAGTCTACTTCAAGTCAGGCGGCCGTCGCCGCGGCTTTTCTTCAGGTCAGCAAAAAGAACATTGGCTGAAACGATAGGGACGTAAAACAAATGATGAGATAGAAATGGATAGAGTGCGTCACTTTCAATTGAGCTGTCATTATCTAATTGTTGTTGTTGTTGTTGTTGTTGTTGTCGCTTTTTGTCGCAGCAGCAGCAGCAGCAGAAGGCGCACCGGCCATCGATGATGGGGGGGGGCGGGTCAGTCGTGGGCCCGCTGGGGGGTGTTGGCGGCGTCGGGGTGGTTCCGGGCGTGGCGGGTGCCGGCGGGGTACCCGTAGGCGGTCACCCGCTAATCGGCACCCCAGGGGCGACGCCGCAACTCCACAGCAGGAACCCCAGCCTAGGGGCAACGACTCCTCCCCAGCACAAGGTGACGATTATATTATAAACTAGACGTTCTATAAAATAGATTGAATAATCATTGTGGTATTTGAATCCACTCGATCTGATCTCATCCGTTTTGTTTGTCACGTAAGTAGACGGCCCTACTGCAGGCGCTGCAGCAGCTCGCGGAAGATAGAATCATCACGTTCGGCAGTATGCCCTCATACCGCGAGGACAAACTCAAACATCAGGCTAATAACGCACTTGCCAGTGCAAGTCGATCATCAAGCAGAGGTAACGAGACTTACAGTTGCTATTAGATATGAAATTTCACAAATGTATCCATTATTATTATTATTATATAGTCTGTTTCTGCTATAAGACCTCCTTGATAAGTATCAATTTAATGCTTCGTTTTTTAGCTAATAGTCAGGTGTTCTTATTATGTCGTTTTGACCATATCGCAGAGCTTCACAAGCAGATTGGGTCTTGAATTTCTTGTCTTCTTTTCTGAAAATCAATAATTTGCTGTTCCAAACCAAAGCAAACTCATTTGGACTTTGTAAAAGGAACCGGCGAAACGACAGATCAAAATTTAGCTTCGAAAAAGAAAAATTTCAAAATATGACCAAACAATAATGAATAGATCGTGAACCTTTGGGTTTTTATCGCTTTATTAATGTTTTATACATTACCTTACTTCTCTTATTTGTCACTTCTAAAGACTGTACCGTACAACGTGTCCTTCTTTTTTTAAAGGATCGGACCCTGGCCAGTTTCGTACGTTTGTTCTATTTCTACTTGTCATCTTAGATATTTAAATGTAATTTATATTTTCTAAAATGTCAAAAAGGTAATATTTGAAAGATTAATCGCACGCAAAATTTTGCGATATAGACAACAAGCCTGAAAAGCGAAGATAAAACATTTCAATACGGTGTAACACTTAGCAGCTATTAGCAAATGAAGTATGAAAAACCTTACTTATTTAAAACTTGTTAGTTATTTAATTTTAATATTCGTCCGTAAAAACGTTTTGTTTAGTAAAAGGCAGGAATGAGTATTCTAAGTGTTTGTCGACGATACACTGCTGGCACTACTTTAATTGCATAATGATATTGATATTATTATAATTACTTAATCATTTTCTATGTGCAGGCGAAGAGACATTTGTTGAGCTGTCGCCGAACAACCTGAACGGGTCACAAACACATTTAGGAGGAGGTGTTGGGGTAGGAGTTGGTGCCGTTGGGTCAGTGGGGCCGGTCGGTGTCGGAGGTGTTCCCGAGTGGGGTCCCGAAGGGGACACCCTATCTGAAGTTGAGAAGACGCTCAAGAGCCTCACAGGGTAAGCGTATGTTGAAAGTTAAAACGGCCCTCACAAACATTTCTATTTTCAGCGATTCCATCATATGATCGATGGAAGTCACTGTTAAAATATGTCGATTTAACGCGTTTCGACCTTACCTTAAAGGAAAATTTATGCACAGAAATTTAAGCTTTTACGAGCGAATCCGGCGAACTTTGAGTAAGTTTTGAATCATGCATCGCTAGCAGGGGAAATTCGGTTGGTGAATGCTCCTGTCTTTTAGAGCCTTGCGAGTAAAAACCGGCTGAGTTCACTTTAGGAGATATGAGTTCAAAAGGAAAAACCATTATTTAGCCTTGAAAATTAGCCTCTAAGTGGTCAAGTTTGTTGCTTCGAAAGTTACCGCGTTGCGGAAATCCATCGAAGATATGTGAAGACATTAGGAAAAGAGACTTTGAGGAAAAGAAGATGAATGGTGCTCCAAGAACGGAGGTTGGAGTGTCAGAGACTAGCGATCGAAATAGTGTTGGGACCCGAAGGACAAGAATGCATTGTTGTAATCAATAAGCTACTCACAAGAGCGGAGCATAGAGTCTAAAGGAGTCAAAACTGAAATTTCAAATGCGACGTGTCATACACGTTCCACACAACTGAACATTCGATTCAAAACTGAAAATGCGGAAGCGGAGCGAAAATAGGGCTCCCATGTATTGACCCTAGGTCAATTTGGAGTATGTGCAGCGTGTACCCCATGTTCAATTTGCGGAACTTAAATCGATAACAGACCCGCTTGCAGCCATGGACGAGGCATCATTCAACCTCTATCGCCAGCCTGTCAGTTAAGAAAATGGCGTCGCCTTGGGGAGAAATCGAGTTCGGATGTGATGCGATGGCAACGTTCGTAATGGAGAACGGGGGCATATGCCATTCTGAGATACTTGTGAGGAATGAAATAATTTAATGTGGCCCGCTGTTCGTTAGGAAACCAGGCGCAGATAGATAATAAAACGCACGCGGTTCGGTTATTTAACGGCAACACAGTGTTTATATTAATTGACGAATTAAGCAAAGAAATATTCAACCTTCGACCTGGCTTCAGCCTGCATTTTCCTTCAATTTAAATCAGTGTGATTCCCAGTCAAAAAAGAATCGGTAAGCAAGTAAATCCGACCATCTATTTAGTTCTAGACAGAGGAATTGAAAGCGGATGGTAGGTATATGACGTTCCTGACGTTCCCGGAACGCTGGCAAGTACCTCTAACACACATTTAAAAGTCTATCCGAACTAGCTAGCGATAAAAGCTATTCGAAGTCCGCTGGACTTGCTTAATACTTATAGAGAGTGAATACTCTGCCCAATGTTTATGTACATAGAGAATGAAGAAAATTGGTAAGGACATCCGATATATGACCACCATCATCACTATAATTATTAATATATTATGTTTGTTTTTTGTGTTTATAAATGTATGCTCATGTACGTATATGAAAACTAGCTATACGTCAGATGCGAATACGCATTCGTCGTACAGCTACCACGAGGATATCCTTGAAGCACTGCAACAGCATCAGCAGCAGCAGCAGCAGCAGCAGCAGCAACAGCAGCAGCAGCGAACCGTTAATTCAAATACGGCGACACCGACGATCAGCCCTGGACAAGATCACAAGACCTTCGCGCTAGACGATAGCTCCGCAGCAGCCGCCCTGTCCGGTTCCGGATCGCTCAGGTGAGTAAGCTGACGTTGGCCTTTCAGCGTCCTGTTAGCGCTACAGTGGTCGACTTACGTGCCCACCTAAGGCCACGCAAAATCACGTCGAAATTAAGCGTGCGCCCACTTGGTTCCGTGTTGAAAGGAGCCGAAGCCCTAAAGCTGCGATACTCAACGCCAGCATCGGACGTTACATTCGAAACATTTGTTTCAACATGCTACAGACTGGAACGAAGTTGCCAAAGCTCCGTTAGTTAACTGAGAACATTTTTCGCGCCCAAATTGGGTTCCTGTTCGGTAACCAACGCCGTACCATCATTGGCAGTTTTGTGGGTACGATACCAACGAGTTCCATGTATTTCCTGCGTGACTCGAGTGACGAACGTTCAACCGCATAAATCAACTAAACACGTATATATATATACAAAGTAATGCAAACCGATATGTTCGTGAGCACTATATGGTTTCACCAAGTTATTCATAATTGTATCTGGGCAGATTTCGGAACTTGGAGGACCTTCTACGGCAGTTAGAGCAGCAACCTGAAGAACCGGAAGTGGATCGTCATTTTAGCAGCGCCGCGACGCGTCACCACACCCTAGACTCTGGTCTCAGGTTAGTCAATGGTCTATTAATCTGTTACACCTGCAAAAAGTAAAAACAATGTCAAGCTGACAGCAAGAAAAAAAAAATATGGAAAGGCGTTGTCGCGGAAATTTTCTAAGGTCCTAAACATCAAAGCCTTTCGCTGAGACAGACCAACAATAGCTACCAAACAATCACTTTCTCAATTATACCGGTCTTATGGTGCGAAGTTTACGTGTGCGATATAGTTTGTCGTCTAGCAGAACAATGCAATGCAAAACAAACAACATTTTGCACAATTTAAAACAACACAACAATACATATAATCGAAAATCTGTCTTCGTTACAAAACAAGAAAAGTTACGATATGATACATAGTCTTTAGTTAGCACTTAGAAAATTAATACTGTCGAACGCCGAAATGTATTCCCTTTGATCACAGATACCTTCTACAGAGTGCGGGTGCTCCAAACAGCCAGTCGGCTCACGGCAGTCGCTGTCACAGTCGAGTTTCAGTCGGACGTGGAGGAACAACAGGAGGTACTATAGAATTTCGCATAGTAAATCTAAGCTTAAGGCGCAAAACCTTGTGAATCTACTTTGTGGTACGCCATCGTTAATCAATTTAAGGTTGAGCCGAACGCCAAAACGATTAGTGCATTTTAAAAAAATTACGAAGTCTTCCTTGAAAATGATTAGCCTTCAGTTAACATCAGCGATTTTCGTATAAACAATAGAACGCTCTCCGAATCAAATTGCGTACATAATTTCCTCGCTTGTTCGAGGATGGGTTATCATTGTCGGGTAAGCTCTTTATGACATTTGCTTAAACCTTATTCTGCAAAGGGGACGAAGATGAAGCAGAAGAGTCTGAAGAATCGTCGAACACGTATTCGACGGGGCAAATCGCTCATCAGATCCAGCAAAGATTACGATCCGCTTCTGTAGAGGCAATACCTATTGGAGGTAAGCGCATTATGTGGTTATAGCAAGCGTAACGAGTTAACTAGACTTAGGGTATTATATACCTAGCATTAAGGTTCAAAACTAGGATAGCCTTATTCCAGAGCAATATATGTATTGTTGAAAACCGGCTTTAGCAATGGTTAGATCGGCGTAATACATACGCATCACGTTTAATTTGTACGTAAATTAAAACAGGAAATTTTGGTAATTATTTGAACTTAGTGGCTTGCTAGTTAATTTGCTGTTTCCGAAGCGTAAAGTATTGTTTTTTTTTTTTAATATTTTAGAGGATGCTGCCCAGGCTTCTGCCACTTGGTCAAACTGCGCGTTAGTAATTAAGACTTAGACATCATGTGGGAGCGTCTTTTTGTTGGTTAGAGCTGGACATGACACACCTATACCATTCTGTTCAGCGATTTTCAGTTAGCCAACATTCATTATTTACACATTAAGTTGGTCCAATACAACAGAATATACGAATACATTCGACCATAAACAGTACCTGTTCTAACATTAACGTTTACGTTTTACTACTGCGCTCCGTATGACACAAACGTGTATTTTTTAATTATTTTTTTACCTATTTTGGTGCTGTGTACTTCTATTCTTCCTGTACATTCTTTTTTTTTTCGTTTTTTATATAATTGTAAACCTTAGTCCTCGTTTTCATTTACCCTTCATGTATGATTGTTGTCAATGTTATTGTTGTTGTTGTTGTTACAGCGGCCCCCCCACTTAAGCCTTCTCTCGTTCCTCAGACAAATACAAGGGGTCATTCACAAGCGAGTAATACATTGGAGACCTGTAAAATACAAACGACACATACACTTATCCTGTGATCTTTTCACACGTTGTCGTCACACTGGAACGACCTGATATACCCCTCCCGACAGCCCGTGCCGTAAGCGGAGGCCGTCTCCTGCCTGCTTATACTGTATGAGTTTGGCGGTGCTTCTCGCCGACGCACCTCTCTTAGAGAAATTGTCATATCGAATATATTAATTGCTCATTGATTGAAGTTGTTTGGCTCTTGCCTTTTTTCATACCCGGAGATTGGTAGTTGTTCAAATATAACTCTTATCTTCCGCTCCTCGCCCTTAGCTCTGCCTTCCCTCCAAGCACTTTTTTTAAATGAAACATTCGCGCGCGTCTATAATGAAGCCGCCGCATAAAGGTTTTGCCAGTATTCGTCAGAAGACGGATCTGCTGCAACCAAAGTGATGACTGACTGAAAGAGGGTAAATTAAACTGGACCGAAGAATGTGCCGTGAGAATGAAGGTCAAAAGTACTTCTAGAACTGATCCTTCCGTACCAGACCTACTTAGGGTAAGTGCGCTCTACTGGAGACGCACCTTTGGCCTGTTACTTATCACTATCACTACGTCTATAAGCACAACGCGAATCTGGCACAAGCTCACACAAATGTTTCAAACGTGATCGATTTTCTAGAGTAAGAAAGCACTGCCCACTATTGTCCTACATAGGCACATGTCTAAGTCAACTAACACAGGCGTACATCTTACATAGCGCATTAAATACTTCAGTTGCCTGATATACAATCTACTTTTCTTGGCCTCATTTGAACACGCTGAGCAGCTTATCAAATTCCTAACCATAAGGCAGCGAGTATACGTGACCCACAGCTGAGTTTTAGGAACGGATTTTCAATGTGAGGATTGAAATATCTGAGCATGACTATTCCTACTGGTGACGTGTCCCGTTGCAGGGTCCTTACAAACGAACATACGGTTTTTTCTAACCGAGTAGACCATTTCACCACTAATTTCTGCCTAATCATACTTCAATGCGAAAAAAAGCTCAAAGTGCGATAACGTTTTTTAAAAAAGCTTTCGTCTCCTGGTCATAGGTGGAGCGGTGGCAAGGGCAGTTCAATATGAGCCTCGTGCTTAAGTCTAAAATTTGTTCCACAAAAAGAAACTATCTCTTTTGTAAGGAAATCGTGTATAAATCACACATCTATTGGCGTGTGGCCCTCTTTGAAGGGGGTGTGCAATGAAGAAACGTAGAAGCAAGACGATGCCTTGAAACCCACTGACAGTGCAGATGCCAATGATACCGAGAATATAAATCTGTTTACGAAAATTGAAGAATCGAACCTAAGACATGAGGTCGTTGGTAGCTTAATGAGGAATAACGAGGTGTGTTTTAGGACAAGAAAAGATGCTATCGATATGCCAACAATTCCGGAGGAACACGTGCAGACGAGGCGTGGCTAAGATATGTAAGGTGCGCACGTCATGACTATCGTAGCAGCGGCTTAAAAATCTCAGGAGTCGAAAGTTATGGATCAGGCCGGCAAAAAATATAAGCCTCTGTGAATGTTTCCTTCTAAATGCACATGTATTTATCGATACGTAGAAAACGTTAAAGGAAAATACTTTGCGAGAACTTATTCTAACAGTGATCCCTTCCCACTAGAATGCTCCGACAGGGTTGTGTTAATAAGCTAAAGCTTTGATTATGGAAAAAAGCTCAAAGTTGTAGTTTCAATTGTTCCTAACTCTATGCGACTAAGTCTAATGAGGAACATTTTGAGGTAGCAATATTTCTTTATTTGTTACCGAAATAAAAATTCGCAAATAAGCTTTAAATAATGCCATTCATTAAAATAAGGCCCGTGCTCTTCGTCATTTTAGCTTCACTTAAACAGTGTCATCATTTGAAGATATTGCGATCCTAGTGTCACTGCTACCTATCATACCTATTCGGCCTTACACTTAGCGGAGTCACTCAAGCATAAGGCTACTTAAGCTTATGCGTTATCTGTATATGGAGGATAATTAATTCTGCTTTGCATGTGTCTCTCCAAAAATGGTATCTCCGTAAGCCCTATTGCTTATGATATTCATCGCATGAATTCGAAATAACGCTTCCCCCTTTTTCGAACATGTGTAGCGACCTGAGAATTTTGATACTAATTAAATCAGCTTAACGTATTGCACGGTGTATGCCAGCCTCACCTCGGAAACGTACTTGTTGCTTTATATTTTGATGATTAGTATCAATAAAAGTTCTTCAGTGTATAGTACTTCATTTGTGTATTATTCTTTATGATGTCTCGATTTACTCAGAGCTTGCTAATCACTGTTTCTCCATGTCCAATCCGTCCGACCAGGCCAGAAGTAGATTTTCTATTTCTCCTCATATGAGACGTTGGATATATGGACTCTGGTAGGAAAACAGCTGTGCGGTAGCGTGCATTCGCTAGCTTATTTCTTTAATCCTATTTCCCTAATCAACGCATGGTTGGACAAAGCAAAAAGAGCATATATTGGAAACTTTTTCTTACACTGTAATTATGTTAATCACAACTGGCGCTGTTGTGTCGTGTGATCGATATGGTCTATTTGCAGGCTTCCCGAGTCCGCCATCCGAGGAGAGCGGCTCGTACGACGGCGGGGGTGCTCACACGCTGCCGCCGCTGATCCCCGGACCGCCCGTCAATGGCAAACGGAAAGTCAAGCGACGCCGTCTTCCCGAGTACAAAGTTTAACAATAAACTGAACTAAGTGTAAAGGCTAATCTATGAAAGCAACGAGAGGAAAGAAGCGTATGGAGAAAAGCAGTGAAGGCAAACCAATACAGCCGGTAAATTAAGTACATGTGGAAGCCAAGGTAGGCTTGAGAATAGTCCATGAGAGTACAGAGGTCTGGTCTTGGCGAAACCGCAATGAAACGAAAACATAAGTGAACAAACGAACGTGCACAATTTGACGAAAGACACTTGATTCACGTCAATTGTCACAATGTGAGACACAGAATATGCCACAAATATGGATAGAAGAAAAGCGGGGCCGGATAAATTGAGAATAGTGCATATGTATATGATGGAAAATGAACCGAAATTTTGATGTGTGTCCCCTTATCGTTATATATTGAGGCGAGGCAGAAATGCGTGAGGGCAGGTCGGGGGATAGAACACGGCATGACGGACAGCGTGGCGCCGCGCCAGAACATGGACTATCAGCACGCTTCTGTCAAGGCAGCGAGGTGGGAATCAGATTCCTACTTCGGCCGAGGTACAGTCCGCTCGAGATAAGTGTAGCATGATCATTAACAACGAAAAGCAACCTCAGTAACGGCGGCAGGAAGAAGCAACGCTCGAGAGTAATAGTAACTGTTCTTTGGTTTGCGATAGAGACTCATGCGGAACTCGTCCGGTCCATGGTTGAAACAAACGTGCGTGTCATTTGTAGCTATTCACTATGACAGTTGAGTCAATAGTGGTGTCTATTTACCAGTAGAATCGTTAAACAGAGTACGCTAGAAATAACAGGCAAGATGGCCAGATTATGATCCCCTTGACCACCTGCCTGTTTTTTATGAGGGAACGCCTCTGGACTGCTCCAGAAAGCGCCATAGAATCCTTTAAAGTAACCAGCGAATGTCCAATGGGCGCATCCATCGTTAAATATAGAGAGATGCAAAAGAGTAGATGCAGCAGTTCAGTTGCTGATCTCCCGTTGTTCTTTAGCGATGGATTCTCGTTGTCCAAGACGCGTGTACGTAATAGCGATGACACAGCGACGTCTGCATGAGCGGCAAACGCAGCAGACGCCCAAACCACAACAACAAATCAGAGAGCAACAACAGCACAATCGATACAACAGTGGAAGAACAGAAATGACACATCATTATTACAATGATATTACTATAATTAGAAAAAATAATGACGATGAAGAATGATGTCAGTGAAAATACAAAGAGCAGAGCAGAGAACAACAGAGCATTCACTGTCGTCAGTCAACCGTTGCCCCAGCAAGCAGAAGCGTAACCCCTTAAACAATAGTAATCACTATAATGATAATAATAGTAAGAGATGACATACATTGTAGTGAGCGAATGTGTTACAAGGTGTTCAGGTCTAAGGGTAGGAATACGTAGGAATATATAGGAAAAAGAGCAAATACATATTGATGGTTTTTTAGGTGAGATACTCCCGTTTGTTAGTGGACAGACGGAGATGATTGACGCCGATGATGGTAAGAATGACAGCGATGCCAGGGACCGAAAAGGGCGAGTAGTCACAGGAACTCCATTGCGGGAAAATAAAACGAAATATGATTACAGGATAAAGGCGACAAAAATAATGCATGACGAAGCCAAGAAATATCAACACACTCGCTGGCCTTCCAATATATAAATAGTCGTATTCTAGTTGAACAGAAGAGAGTCAGGGATTGATTTGACAGATTGATGATAAAAACGAAATAATGAATCCAAGGGTAACTCGTGACAAATACTCGCTAACTCGTATGAGTTCTAATAACGATTATAATAATTCACGTTATTATAGCTATATATATATATATATATATATATATTGTGATGGGAACCGCAGTCTATTTAACACCAAAAAAAGAAGTGCTCAACCAACAAAAGGTGATTAGGAAATAAAAAAAATTGGGTATATATAATGATGATGAGCAGAATCGTACTACCATTACAAAGCGCACTTGGTCAAGGAACGGGAAAGGATCTCGCAGGAGACGCAGGAAACAACGCTGTCCCGAGAATGGAAGCTGCTAACAGAAGCGACGTAGTCAAGCCACAACCAGAGAGGGCAGAGTTTCATAGGACTGAACTCTTGACGCATGTTTATAAAAAGCTGATCGTAGTTAGAGCTACCTAATAGAAATAATGATAAGTATATTAATGAGAAGGAATGACGACGATCAGGTGATAATAATAATTAATTGAAATAGCGCCGTACAGTAAGACACAGTAGCCGAGATTGATTCAAACATCATCAGCAGAGGCGCTAACGGCATGCGGCGATGTGTATGAGCGCACGGAGAAATAGAGTAGCCACGATTGATGAAATGCTGATTGTTACATATTACGTTTGTATATGGCAGGACAAGTTGTTAATGCGGCAACAGGGTACTTTGAATTGCTATGTATTGGGTTACGGTTGATTGGACCTTTAATAAGTTCTATATGTTTTCTCTGCTCTCGAGCATACGTTTAGAGGCTATTGCCGATCGACTTCAACACATCAACACACTGAAGTTCATGGACGACAAGTATGAGCTCGTCTATTATATCGAAGCCATGATATTCGTCTGCCAAAAGCAGAAGTCGAATTTAAACCAGACATTGAAATTTTGCATGTTTACGAGTACACGCACAATTGATTCTACAGACCAGGATGTGGCAGCAGTTTTCTCTTCGGGGTTACTAACATTCATCACGCCATGGTTATTTGCATGGGGCTAGACCCCTTTAATCTCGAAGTCATCTGCGAGTAAAGGCCCGCCTAGCTTTTGTGTCATTTTTGATAATACTTGATCGCTGGTCGAGTTCGGTGCCACCATTTAAGCTAGCTCTTGAAATCAAAAACGTTCCGCTCTCTAATATCTGCTTTTAGTTATTCATCTGATCTAAGAATAAGCCTGCACCAGGAAAACATTGGCCTTTTGAAGGTCGTGCGATAGGTGACAGGATCTAACTGTTCGGACAAAGAACATTTTAGGTGAAATATAATGCTTTGTTGTACAAGGAAAATTTTCTCTCGTTGATGGCCACTCCTTCGCGACTTACCAATGTAGGAGAGTCTCGCGAAAATGCAAACATCTACATCACGATGAGTTGAGAACAATCTCACTCTCTTTGCGCACTGTGAATCCAGGAGTATCAGCTCCCATTCATCGCCAAAGCTTCAGTTCCGCGCACGTTAGGCACATCTGTATAAAGCTATCACCGGCCTTTATGCTAGTCATCCTCGAAAATCATCAGTCAGAGGCAGCTATATGGGCCGCATGGTGTGAAGCCGGAGAAAATACTTTTAAAATATACTCCAGGCATTTCAAGGCGGCAGCGTGAACATATGAAACTCTAGAAATGGTACAACCGGTACCCGTTAAAAATGATAGTTTAAGCTAGGGACATGCCTGTATTGATGAGGGATGCATATTTTATTTGGAAAGGCCAAAACCACTAACACTGCAAGATACATGTATATTGTACATTACTGAAATAGAACTCCCACATTTAAGTTGCTGGCCTGCTCTCTTATGTTATTCTTGTTTGTAGTAGTTCATCATTGTGATATGCAGTCACGAACGCATGATCATGGTAACGGAAGAAGTTTCCTGGGCCACCACTGAGGAAAGCAGCCAATAAGCAGTCGTAAGAGTAAAATTAAATACCCGCAGACAAAGCTGACTCAGTTTTTTCTCTGGAGAGAAAATGGTGTATCTCTAAATGAACCTGTCGTCAAGCGCCCGTAGGACACCGTTCGTATTAGATACTGGACAGTCATTTGGAACAAAATGACGAAAAATAGGAATACCGCAAATGTTTTGTCGGATATCATCAGACATCACACGTATATGAACTAACATATATAAAGACAAAGGCTGTCCACCGGAAGAAACAAAAATAAAACTATTGATAACGATTATAGTAAACAGCTGTGTACAGAGTATAGAGACGTGGGGAAGCAGCAAGTAAATATCGTCGTAGTTCCCCTCTCTACAAAAACGCGTCACACCATCCAATTGAAATTATGACTAGCGAAAGATACGTGTTTGCCCTCCTGTGCCAACGGGGGGCAGTGTTGCGTAGTCTAACTTATATAACAGTAAAAAGTGGTTTGAAAGACGAAATTGATTAATATCGATCAGTCAGCCGAATTGAGTACCGAATGAGTGTGTCCATCATTGACGACGATTGCCCGTAGAAATGTCATCATCAATAAGAAGCAGCCGCGGCATCCGACCTTCAGAGAGACAGAAATTGAAAGAAAGTTGAATCGCCCAACAAGATGCCGTGACCGACTGACGACTGTCAAGGAACTACAGGCTGAAAGATAACGGTGACAGCGCATTAACGTTTCACTGAGTGCCCCCAGAACGGTACGGACCCTAAAGTCAATATACAGGAGGATTCGGTCGTTCCGACTTGTCTGTTGTGCTACCACTGACCAATGAAGTACATCGGCCGTAGAATGCACTGGTAACTGGTGGCACAGCACGGAAAAAATCACGACGCCGATGATGATGTCTAGATCCAAAAGCTATATATAAATACATATTTATGTAGATGTAGATAGCAAAAATAGCGGACGCAATAGGCTGACTCTGTGTGTCTGTTCCGCGCGACGGTCGACATTTTGATTTTGCTTCTTGACAACAACTAACTACCCCTGTAGTTCATGATGACCATATGGCAAGTGAAAGAAGAAAGTTTACGGTATATAATGGTATAATGCTATCTATCTTCGTTTAGTCACTTGAAGCAATAGGCTAGTGTTAAAACAAATGGCGTTTGCAGTAAGGGCTCAAAGTAACAGATTTTCTGGCACGTTTAGGTCAAGCAAGACGAAAACAGAATCAACAAACTAGCCTCAAACGATTGTTTTTAGTGAAAAATTTTTCATTTGAGCGGCTTGCTATTACAATTTGGACCGAGTTTGCAAAGATTTCGAGAAAGTTACAGCCCTTATGCTATGTCGCAAACGGTCCATAAGCAAGATATTCATCATTGTTTCCAATGTCGCAATATTTGAAAGCATTACTGACAAGGTCTCTTCGGACCTTGAAACCGAACAGATTTTTAGCTTTACCTAGCCTAAATCTAGCGCTACTGATGTAGCTGCTCAAATTGGAAGGATCACAGAACTTGGGTTTGTGTACGGCACAAAATGCCGGTGCACAGAAGCTGCCATTAAGCTGCTACATCTTGTTCGTCATAAGGAGATTGGTCGTTTACGTTTAGCTGCACATGTTTAAAGGATGTACACAAATGACCCTTAGGAATAAACGTTCGTACAGGATATTTCTCTTCTTGTACCCATGAGTTTGTCAACATGTGTTATTAAGCGACGTGAGCAGTCATTCGGGGCAGATTATTATCGCTTGATTATTGTAAGTCGATCGCTTCTACGGATGCACAAAGATGCTTTTGTCTAACGATGCTTTTGGGCATGTCAACCACAACACCGGCAGTTTGCCAGCCAGAGAAGAGACCACTTACAAAAAATATATATATACAGATCAGCAGCATCTGTAGACGTAGCTTATACTAAAGGCTTCCACAAAAACGAGATTCCACAAAGGCCGCGACCATAACGGGCAAATAGTTCGGCCTACATTTACCAAGCCCGCAACGATAATCAGCGCTCATAATAATAATGGCGCGCTCTCACAGCAGCTCCGTGTTGTATTCGATCAGGCGAAAGATTGTTCGAATACTTATCGTTAATATTAAGCTCAACGAAGCAGCAAAGCAAGCCTAAATACAAAAAAGTAAAGCCGTACCGACACTTTCGTAGTGGAAAGTGTGTTACGTAAAGTCGAGACAGAAATTCTTCGAAAATTCGTGATCACACTCGCGCTAGACAAATTATCTACCCTATGCACAGGATATAAGCATGCTATGATTATTATGCAGCCATTGTACAAAAAGCAAACGCCATACCTATGACACAATTGTGTACAGCGCTATAGATGCCACATGATAGAGTAGCTGGGAGCAAGAAGAGTCAAACACGCATAAACGGTGAAATAAATTGAGCTAATAATGGAAAAAAAAACAGTTGCAAGGGTTCTGAGAGCTAACATTCTAAATTGCATCTCTTATTTAACAATGTGCACATATATAGATCTCGAAATCAGTGTGGCCGTTTACTGACTCTCCGAGCCTAAATCAACCGAGCGTATAATACAACATTAATGGGTCTGATATTACCGTGTGACGACAACTAGCGCGGTACTGTTTCTAGAAAATCGTTCGAGAAACAGCGTACAAGTAATCGAATTTGCCTTAATTAGATGTACTTGAACGCTCTCAGCTGATATGCCCATTGCATACGTTTTGTTTATCGAAATCCAATTAAATATAGAGGTAAGACAAACTCGAAACGAGTTCGAGGTGGGTCAGGCGTGCGAGGACAAATTACTTTGTATCCAGGAAGAGTGCCATGCATCGTTTGTCAGACGAACGAATTGTAGGCCTTCTATGAGCGGATACAATGCAAACGACGGCTAAATAAAAGTAAGTGAAAGTGATCATAGAGACGAATTCAATCGAATCAAGCCAAGCCAAACATGTCTTAAGGATCGACAGGTGGGAACAATCAGCTAGCCGTTGTTCATTCGAAGGCAAAACACAACGAGCCGAAGGTAGGGAAAATACGTCGATGAAGTACGATTACACCGGGACGTGAGAGTCACGGGTCAAGACGGGACGCTGTACTTGATAATCGAGGCACAGTTGATTATGCCTTGGTATCAATAGTTTGTTTACTGTCATTATCAATGAGGTGAATAGTGATGAGTTGAGTGTAGCAAAAGTGGTAGAGAAGCGCGTGTGGTGAAAGGCGAGTGTGGCAATGGCAACTCTTTATAATTCAATGCGGCAGCAATTTCGCTCTGTGTCTGTAGGTTGATAGAAATCTATAATAACATTAATGAACATCCAGATGATAATGACGACAAATAACATCAACAAAGACATTACAATATTTATGAATAGTAACACTGAATAATAGTCATATATAGTAAAAACGAATACTAAATAAAGGAGATTTATGTTACGCTTTCGACAACGGTACAAGCATGTTCTTATTTTTTTGAAGTGACACAAATTTTATATTTAACATAGTAGTATAAATTAATTATAAAGCAAAATAGTTCGCTTTACGTCAACGAAATTCTACGTTACCTGCCTTGAAAAGCGAAAAGAGAAGCATTTTAAAAATAATATAATATTTATTATTATTTTTTAGTTGATCTGTTGTGTTCTATTAGAACACGGTCCTAACAACGTCGTTAAAGGCTTATAAGCTATAATCAATAATACCATAACGATTTGTGCTGCAACGGTAAAGAACCTGGTGTTTGGCAGCTGCGTGCTTACTTTCCAACCACTCGCGGTATTGTTAGAAGCGAATTTTACGCACACAGATCCGTTCTATCTTTGCCTAGAAGCAGGAATTGTCTCGTTCATTCTTTGCTATCAGTGGTTGTTTCATGGAGCGGTAAGCTACCGGGGAGGGCTTCACCACTCCCATTGTTGCCTCTGGTAGGCAGCTTTTGCTTATTAGGTATTTTCAAAATGGTCTTTTTTGTGTTCGGTATTATCTTATCGAACACTCCTATGCGGTTCGTTTTTGTATCACTTGTTAATCTATAATAATAATATATTTATTATTATCCTTACTGTTCGATCTATTTCCTTCGGTGTTTCTACAGTGTTTATCACGAACGGGTGTCGGACGCATCGAATAATGGACCATATCGTTCTAAAACCCACATCCGTTTCAAGTGAATTTAGTACTCTCTAGTGCTTTCCGATTATAATGCGAAGATAAAACGTCAATTATCGTCACTTAGAAAATCGCCATTTAATATTTCTGTGCTAATAGAACCCATGAAGATCATATATATGTGTAGAATCACAAAAGCGAACACAATATGTACGATCAATTCCATTTAACGAACGTGCTGTGGGAGCCCCTAGCTGCGAAATTAACAATAAGATAGTTTAGTTGGGTAAGGCATTCTTTTTTTGGGGGGTCAGTATAATTAATCAACAAGCCTACATACAGCTTAACGGTAAACATTGTACAATAAATCCTTGGTTCTGCTCGCTGTTTTTTTTTCTAAGTTCAATTCGATAGTACTCAAATCTCGTTCAATCAGCTACACAAGGCATGCAACCCGTAAACGTCAAGTTCGAGTATTCTACGAGAATTTAAGATATCTCCATTTTCTATTTGACAATGCATTTGAAAGCTCCTAATATAAATCAGAACATTTCTGATGAGATCTCGCAAAGTTTCATACACTCCGTGGGTCGCCTCTTCCGTCCTCAAATGACTTCCTAACCGAGACTAAATCTGTAAACAGTTTTCGCATTTAATAGCCATATATACAAAACACGAATCTATCATAAATATGCACTCCTAATTTCCATAGTACACAAAAATCAGACTAACGTATCCATGTATAATATTTCTCAAAGTACGTCCAAAGCACACAAGTAAAGCAGTGATAGGGAACAGGCCAAACGTTGTTCGGTCAGCGGACGGCTCCGCCATTCAAGCGATGGCGATAAGACTGCGCATTAATATATACAAGGTCAGCCAAAAAGTGTGATATATAACATTTCCTGCAAATAGCCGATCTTAACATATTTCGAATCTTAGAAATCGAAGATCTTAACATATTATTATACGAATTAAGATTTAATGCATACTGCCCATATGTGCAAGAACAGTAGCACCACTTTGTTCAGGCTTTATGTCCTAAAAACAATCTCCTGTAATTAAGAAGAAGTAAGTGTTTAGCTAAGCTTTAAATCTGATAATTTAGATATAGCACACGCGAGCATTGCAGCGCTTTTAGCAGAAGAACAGAGCGATACAATTACCATATGAATTCGTACTTTCGGCAAAAAGTGCATTTTTTAAGTAAGCAAAAGCCTTTCTTAGAGAGACAGGTCATAGCAATAAAAAAAACTGCTTACGCAAACAGTTTTAATCAGAAATTATGAGGGACACGGTTACTACGAACGTATATGTCTACAGCGTGCAGGATTTATCCACTTCATATGCTATGTCAATGGTAGTTTGTTTACAACTGTTCGAAGAATGCTACTCGGCTCTTGGTAGCCCCTTGTACACTTTTGCGGTATGTTGCATGTTTGTCCGCCCCAGTGGCTTGGTTCTGCTCATAAATTTGGTCCAATGGCGTATTGTGCTCCTGTAATTAAAAAAAAAAAAAATTAATTTCTCATTTTGCTAAATATTATTTTACATCAGTTTATAGCGTGGGTGGATTTACCGAGTGCTTTTTTATGACTACGGTTAGTCTCTGATGAACATTACTGTTTGAGACGCCTTGAACAGTGCTTAATTTATACGTGACAGAAGCAGATCTGCTATACTGTTTTTATTACTGGAAGCATCAGAAGCTAGAAACAAGTATAACGTCATTCAGTCTTACTTCTAATTAGTTTTTACATGGGATGGACTTAAAATTCGGACCACTTGCTACCACAAGCAAATGCGGCAGTTGTGTGAACGCATATCCGCTAGCATTGCCAACTAACCAGTTTTTTCAAGTCTTGTATTTCATTGCGTAGCTGCAGCAGTTGCCGTTGAACGCTAGAGGTCTTTGCTTGGTACGATGACTTCTCCCTTTCGATCTCTTCCGTCAATGCCGAGATGTCCTCGTCCGGCTCAAGGTTATTATTGTTTGCGCTAATATTGTTATTATTTACATTGCTAAAGTGGTTGGTGCTCACATGACCGACAGCAAAGCCTCCAGCTCCAACTGGGGCCATTGCGCCCGATGAGCCGTTCGTTCCCGGCCCAGCGCCACCCTGGCCTTGTTGATGTGAACTAGTGGCAGGCCCCATTGCGCCACTGGCCGTGTTCGGCGATGATGGGATTCTCAGAGTCGACCCTGCGGGTTGTGCGCGCGACTGGCTTTGCGCGGTATGCGCCTGCTTAAGACGGGTAAGCTCCTGACGTAACGCATTCATCTCATGGGTTTTCTCCTCAGCAATCTTCAGCCAAACAAGAAAATTATTAATAGCATGATCAAAACAAAACTCAAATGGAATTCGAAGAACACGTCAGCTGAATATTATACAAAGATCGTCGACGCTGTACCTTCGCCCACAAAGCTCATCATCCCTTTGAATTATAGTACTATAGCTAATCTACCTGCATGACCATGACCTCTGCTTCACGTGCTTTGCCTTCCATGCGTAACCGTTGCTGCTCAGCTTCATCGGCTTTACGCGCGAGCAGAAGAGATTCCTCTTCAGCGATACGGGACTTCTCGGCTAGCAGCTCAGCGGTCTGTTCCGATCTACAAATGCACGTTTCGAACGCGAAATAAAATATCCAAATGTAATAAAACATAAAAGCTTAAAAAGCAAAATATTCTTTACTTGGCTCCTTTTGATACACCGATGTCTACACAGTGAATATTAGAGTCACTATAGGAAGGTCTAGTGATCACTGAAATAGTTAATGACTCGATGGGTTGTTTAATCAGTGCCTTGCTGACTGTCATCAAATTGGCACAATTTTGTAGGAAAAAGTATAAAAGATGGCCCTCAAGTCTTCCGAAGCGGTTTAAACACACTATTAAAAACAGTTTAAACAAACTACTAAAAGCAGTTTAAACAAACTATTAAAAGCAAACCTTCTTAGAGCCTCGTGAGCAACCCGTGCTTCCTGTTGGCATATGATCAATCGTTGTTGAAGTTCAGCTCTTTCGCGTTCAGCCTCTTCTCGAAGCTTCTTTTCTCTAAAAGATGAGATTATCGGAAACGAAGCGGCAAAGCATACGCATTTCTGTCAAATAAACTACTAACAACGCAGCTTTTGGGGTCGCACGATCACCAACTTTTGGCCGATTTTAATATATTTTTATCTTTAGGAATACCTACTGTCCTTTTCATATACTCTGCATCGATGATCTACTATAACGCTTGCCCATCGAGGACCTCATATACTCAGATTTCTAACCTTTCAAGAAGGTTACGTTCGTATTGTCTTCGCAACTTCGCTTCTTTGGCGGCAGCCTTCATTTGTTGCACTTCCATGGAATCAGGTTTCCTCCGACGCATGTAGAGTTCGTGATTGCCCATACACAGGTCCAAGATGAGCTTATTTAGTCTGCGAAGTCACGTCAGTCTTATTGATAACCGGTAACTAGTAGTAGCTCTGTTGTTGCTATTCTATAGAGACGTTTCTAATTGCACCACCAAGTTTCGGTGAAACGACTAATACTATGACGGGTAAGCTAAACAGATCTTCCGCATCTTCATACACAGCCCAGCTCTATTGCTAGTTTAGTATAAATAGTTCTACTTTAACAACTCTAGTACTGTTATAACCATTATATATTACTATTAATATTATAATACTAACCGAATCTTCGATGAGTAAAACAAAAAATTATTTGAGTTTTTGTCCGCTGGTTTGATGTTGAATTTTTTATCATCGAACGAAATATTGCGAATATCCGACCACGGAAATGTGACGATGGGCGCAAGCTTGTTATCCTAGACGATACCATGAATAAAAAAAACAAGGCACACTGTAATTCTATGTTATGTTATCGTTAATTCTTCGTGTACCATTAGCAAGCTCTCACGAGCTAATATTTCACAGTTTATATATATATATAGAATTGTTCAGCTCAATTTGGATAATAAAATTTGGTTGGTGTAACAATGGCTTTCCTGCCTTGCCTTATTGTAAATCTTCAGCCCAACGGCCGAGACGCCGAGCCATAGGTCCGTGTCTTTGCGATTCTGGAATACACGTGTTGAAATACAAGCAATAAGCAATGATATACAAAGAGTATGAATATTTATTTTACTTTATTTGTTTGTTCGCATAAGCTCTCTAGACGTATTACTAGCAATGGTCATATGTGCATACCCGTCTTGGATCTTGTAACTTAACGCACCAAAAATCGAAGCAATGAGTCAGGCCTTAGAGGTGATTTCATTGGAATTTAAAAGCACTTTTTCCAATGTTTAGATACTTACGCATATTTTAAAGTAACTGACACCGTACATGTCAAGGTCTTGTGCGATTTTCAAATATTCCATCTCCGCTTCGTTACGAGTCATACCTTTATGATCGGCATACCAAACCTGCAAATGAGGAAATAATAGAAATTTGGTCCAATATTACAGATGTACTATTAAAGGTCATTCTGCATTATGCAACATTAGATTCTGCCTTTTCTCGATTATCAACCCTTGAGCAAAGCAGCGCATATGCTGAGGCTGACATTGAATCTAGTCGACTAATACAAAGGCAACCACAATACTTGTTTACTTGACAAAGGGTTTAATTTTTCCCAAATAACCTGATTACCTTGATTCGCTCTTCCCACATTTCGAGCGTCATCTGATATTGATCAATGACTCGCTGGGGGAGTAGATCATCATTAGCAAGCATTCCCGGAGTGTATGTTGTTTCATCGTAGTCTCCATATTTTGCTTGCACCGCGTACGAGGCCAAAAGGACAGACGCTTCGGGTGGACAATAAATATCTGTTTTGCCAAAAAATCGCAATATATTTAGAACATCTACAGCGACGAGTAATTATGCCGACAAATAGTTACATTGTTTGTCGTACCATTAGTGCTTCTGATGTATCTAGAAAACGACAGACCGCCCATACCTTGCTGTAAAATAGCTTGCTTCACCTGAAGAAAGAAAAGATGCTGAGTCACCTGTAAGACAGCAGAGAACCCCTTACTTTTAAAATCCATAGTGCCTTATTCAACTGTAAACTTACTTCTTGTACAGCAAGCCCTGCTGGCTGTAGTTCCAAAAGCCGGCAAATTTTTCTATTAATTCTACATTGTGAAATATTGCTTACCTCTTGGATAAGTTCATCGCAGACATCCTCTGGATAAAATTTGACGAGAAACAGAAATGACAGGGGGCTCTTGCAGTTTTGGCGGTCAACTCGTTTATCCAGCTTTAGCCACGTTGGAAAGCCTTAGAATTTTCGAAGGAGGCAGTAGTTAGAACGTGTTCGATAAAATCGCTGGATAGAAAGAATAGAATGGCTGCGTGCATACTCACACATTACCGCTACACGCTTTCATTTACTAATCAGATATGAGAAGTAATTGCTCTTTTGTTTTTTTTATATTAATTAGACAGACCTTGCGAAACAAAGTTGACCTTCTAAGGAACGGTTGCGAGAACGAGTTATCGTTGTTAGATTTAACTCATTCAAAACTTACTCGTGCTCGCGTTCCGCTCACTGTCGGCGCAGCTCGTACTCTTCAAGTCAATATCTTTTATGTTTCAATGTGAATTTAGAACTTGGGCTAGCAATAGAAGGTTAGAAAAAAATTGATGTAAATTACATTAGGAAGATGATCACGAAAACGGAAAGTTCTAACTTTACACGCTCTAACGATATATGATATTTTACCTTTCGCATCAACAAATTGTAGTCCAAAATACCATGTTTCTCTTAGACCGATCGTTCTGCAAACTAATTCGAATAGATCTCGTCCAGTGGCTTTTTGCTGAAAATTTGGATAAGAAAAATAACAGTTATTAAGATCTGTTGAATAAATCTAAATCAGATGGCCATTCGGCGCCTTGTTGCCACTATCCCATGGTTCTAGACCGACATAAGTGCAATACACCCACTAATAGTATGTACTCATTCGAGTCTAACCAACATAAAAGCGAACTAGCACAATTGACGAAAAGGCCTAGTCCCCATTTGGGTAATATTTTCTTTATAACGAAAAACTGTTGCCCTCCGAAAGGCTGCATACCTCATAGCACAGAACTAAATACTCCATAAATCAAAACTTGCACTATTAACGAATTCCCGTAATCTCCACATACATTGAACGTTCTGGAGATGCCCATAACAGCTTTAGCATAATAACATATTGATTCGTAATAGGTCTTTTAGCTCTAGACACCTGTTGTCACACGTAGTATTTAAAAATTCGCTTAAAATTCAGTGGTTATGGCTAAGCGCCGATGGGGCGCTCAAACTCATAACTTTCATTACAATTCTTAAAGCCAAAACTTGATTTCTATGTATGAGTTGAGAACTGGAATTCGAATCCGAGTGCGAAGACAACGTGTCAGTAACCTTAAAATCTACGATTTATCGTAAGACCGCTGTATGATCAGTTGTCTTATTCATTATGCACGAGGAGGATGCCCCACCAGTTGATGGGCTGTAAGAAGACCGACTGGTAGAACTGATCTGAATAAATTAATTGATTTTGAAGGAAGTTTGGATATTATCGATAAGCAGGACACGAAGACATACAACGCAGAAGCTGATACACTGTATTATCGTTAAAAAGCTTGCATGTGCATACAAAAATACGCAGAAAAAAATAGAAATAGGAACGGTCATGCTTTAAACTAAAAACTTAGAACGTTTACCTGTCCTTTAGCATTTAGAGTTTGGAATTAAGGTGGAAAAAAAGGTTCCACGCAACAGCGGACCGTGTCAGACCGAGATCACTAGCCAATTACCAAATAATGTAGCTTTTATTTTCGCCGTATTAATCGTTTTTTACATGATTAGTTTTGGCGGTTTTAAGGACTAACGAAATTACAGGTACACTTCACCAGGCACAGAAAATGTTTCCGAATCTTGCTCTGTCTCTCCGACTATAAGGATAGCATTGTTTCCTATCACTGCAAAAGCACTGTACTCAGGATCAGCCAGCCATCCGGATTGAATTGCGATATACCGCTCCAAATGCACAAGACGCAGCAGCTGTAGGCGCTACTGAAGCCTCGAAAGCAGAGGTTTTTCCAAGAGATCACAGAGATATGATCAAGCGTCAAATTGTTTATTATCCGCAAACCTACTTTCTGAGCCCCAAGTAACTTGTGTTCCTGAGCGCTTCTTTCATCGTGATCGAAATCTATGCATGCTTCGATTACCCTCGTTTGCTTGAAAGGTGTGATTTTACATGCTGACTTCTTTCCAAAAAGAGCGCAGCTATTAGTATAAAGGAGTTGAGCTCAAGTACGCTATTTAACTATAGGGAAAGCCAAATATTTAGCTACCCATCAGTATACGAATCGTAAGCAACTAAGAAGGTAACCTTCTAACCTTTTTCCTGACACTTTGGCACTCGTATACCTATCGAATGTACTCCCGTCTAAACTCTCGTTTACAGGACCTAGACTTAACCTTATTCGCACTGTGAACTTTGGTGATTTCTAGCTTGAGTCGAATAGGGATCCGGTATGCAACAGCAAAAAGATGCCTTAACAAATATAATGAGGCCGCGTATCATAAAAGCACGAGGTTAGCGACACTACTGTTTCTTAGATTACCATCCTGATCGGCATCTGATTATATAATAACACTTTCCATTTTGCGACGTGTGCATTTATGTTTATTTTACCACGTATCTCGCTAGTGGTTAAGTCATACGCCTCTAACTCGTTAATTAAGTGTTCAGTAATACGGATTTGTATCGTAGCTGGACGAACTGAGAGTATTCCAAACTCTGTCTTCGGGAGCACAATTCAGCTTCCAATAAATACGCGAGGCTTTTATCATGGCACGCAACCAATTAAAGATATCCCAACGAAATGGAACGATGTGCGAACAAACAGTTATGGAAACGGACGACAAGTTTTACCGTGGCTAATTTAAGGGTGTCAAAGTCTGTATTGAAAATACTCGTTCAGTTTCAGATTTAACTAGTTGAACAAGTGTTCAACCTGATGTATCACTTCTCGAGTAGTCTCTGTAGGTAGATTCCATAAAAACGAATTTGATTTATTAAATAGCAGTCGCCCGTTCGTCATTACCCTTGCAAACGTCCTAATTTATAATGAAGAACAATACTTGACTAAAAAATGTAGCTTAAAACTTTACCAAATTTTATTTACTCCGGAACACACTCGGCAGGATGTATGAGGTGTAGGTGTGGATGGAAAGCTTTCTTGTAAAACTCTGTCAGTGACTACAAGTGAATAATTATAATATAACATATATATGTTATATTATAATTATCGTAACATATATATACACAAGAGGTATGTTACGCAGTAGATCAAGAAGCAATAATACGCTAAGTTGCATTTACGTTACGTTTATTATTCGCTCTTTATAAGAAGATGTTCCGTTCTTACGTATTTTATCCGAGGCATATTGTTCACAGCATTTATATTAGGGATGCGGCACCTTCTTTTTGGATAGCGTTGTTTGTATTATTGCTATGAAAATATTACCGAAGTATTTACATAATCATAAAATGCTAGTTTTTCCCTGCCTTCTAGTCGAATTATTAAGTAATGGGAGAAACGGTGGTTGACAAAAGTTGGTAAAAGCTTACGCAATCTTATTTAAAGAGTACAATAGATATTTAAATGATATAGCTTTTGCACAATTACAACTATAGAACCGTAAGATATCAATATGATAATAAAATTATTATCCTCACCTCAAGCTCAAATTCGAGTTCTGCATCCATCGTCGAAACCCGAACGGCCTCCATTTTGGAGGCCTTCTTGCCCAGAATAGACAGAGGCATTGCGGTGTTACAGATCTTCGGTCACCACTTTACAAACGCAAACGAGCAGTGACAGTGAGCAGGTCCCACAATGAATAGCTTTCTACGTAAAGCGCCACAAGGATATCAGTGCTGAAGACTTTACACACACGTTCAAAATACCACTGGAAACTCTTTCACTGGGTACCGTTTCCGAAAGTTGTTTTACCCATAGAACCGAAATAAACTTGAAAAGTTCCGATGGTGCTGACGCCAATGCGGCTGACTTGCAACGGTAACAGCTCATCCATTTCGTACGGCTTTTAATTTTTTGTCAATAACAAAATGATATATCGATCGAATTGAATCAACTTTACAGGACACATACGTTTCGATGGTAAATACCATTAGAACAAGTCGCTCGTGTTGCATGTCGTGCTGTTAAACTCATTTCTGGGTCGGATAAATACCCCCATTTTAGAAAAACGACCCAAAATAACAAAGCTTTCCGATCTTTCTACATCTACGCAAAAGAACACGCACAAGCAATTGTGCAATATAGGCAATATAGGCGACACCAGAATCTTGGGTAAACTCATAAACTCCTCTCAAACCAAAACAAATACTGGCTAGAACTCACGGAGCAGTGATCACAGACATCATCGTCACTGTTGCTCACGGCTCACGCACTTCCTCTTCCCCCAGGCTCTGATCAGTGGACGCTGTCAGATCTAGTCTGAGGTCCGGCTGTGCGGGTCGGCCTCAAAACTTTGCTAACTGAAAATCCATATGCAGTAATAATACAGATCAACATAATTCCGCCTAAATATGAGGGTAAGTCTGAAATGTTGAAATCTAAGGGTATGAGTATTTCATGCTTAGCAAAGAAATGCAACTTTTTATCAGAAGATTTGTTTTGTCACGCCAAATGTTTGGGTTTTTTAAAAAACTGAGTTGATGCAATAATCTATGATGAACTAGACAATTGGGCAATGCCTTCGTCATGCTGTCGTCTTAAGCTTGCGAAATACAAGTAGATGTGCAGTAGCGTGTTCGTATAAATAAAATAAAGGAACTTAGTAAAGGCAAAATCTATATAGCAACTATAACGTTGCTAATTAATTAAACTATATGCATTTGACTATTGACAGTAGAAATAAAATCAGTAGTTTAGGATACTAGTCCTAACAGAGACCATGTGCTTTTACGTTAAACTAGAAAAACGACAAGCTGCTCTAAATCCTTCTTGTACTAAACTGAAAATAACTCTTTGTTACGAGAGTACACTATTTAAAACACAAATAATGTAAGGCGCCTATTGGACAACTCGGCAACGGAGTCCACGCGACTCTCTCGATGAAAAATTTGCTTAATTAGTTGGAGAATAGATTTTTTTCAAAGGAAACGGTTTAAGATGTTCTAGCTTTAACGAAAGTATTTGAACTAATTCCAACCTTCCTTCTGTTATAGTTGGCGATAGTGCCGATCAGTCCAGCATCTTTTCCTACTACAAACCTGAGTGATAATGAGACCAATTTCATGAAACTGCGACACTTTAGCTTGCAGCTTCCAAGCCTATAGTTATGTCCTTAACGAAATGATACTTTGTAAAAAATTTAGTTTCCGTGTTCGAATTAAACTTTTTCAATTCGGCCTGCGACATTTGGTAATTACAACACCAAAAGAGTTTCGTAACTGGGTTGATACGTCGTCAACGGAAGACCCCAATTCCTATTGATTCTGCGTAGTCGACGGATAATCGCCCGACGCTGAGCAGCAGGGTTCGACTCAATGCATTCATTGGCAGGAGTCTGAGATGGGAGAGAGAACTCCGCTGTGTTCACCTGCTCTTTCCCTCTGTTGGGCTCTGTTCGTGGGGGCCGCCGCCTACGACCACGGTGGATATATGTAAACATACCTTCGTGCGAACATACAACAAAGGCATAAGAAAATGTTTTATGCGTTGAGCGTGCAGTAAAATATCGTGCGGAAAAGGGCACAATGGTGTATTTGAATATGACAAATTTCCATAATAACTAGAAATAAAAAACTATATAATTTCAGTAGAACTGCTGTGGGTGACGTTTAATTGGACCCGTTATTGTGTCCATCGGTAGATTCTATTTTGTGCTGAAAGATAAGTAAAACAGGTATGTTTGTTTTTGTGTAATTATAAGTTTCAATTTTTCTACAGAGTTAACGAGCTCGGTACATGTCAAATTTGTACTGTGATATAGTCCGAATAGCTGGTGATTATGCCTATTTACAAAATAGCTCCTAAATAGTTAATCTCGAACGAATTCTATTTATTCATTAATGTTACTCTACGCAAAGTGTACCCTTTTTCCAAAATTGTTCCTTTCCATTAAATAACTTTTAAAACAGATAAAAATTATGGCGATCACTCGAAAAAAGCGTTTCATAAACTTTCATGTTTAGGTCATGTAGTGTAAGCCCGCATCGCGCCTATGCGCGATACCAGATTCCAGTAGCTTGATGATGTTTATAGCTGACAGATGATTCCAAGCTCTGACAGAACAGTACGCACCATTTATGCCTGATGTATTATTTTAACGTTTCCGTCGTATTTTGTTGCTTAGACCTACCACTCAAACGAGCTAGTGAAGTAATGAAAGAACCAACAGCTTCTCTCGGATACAGCCGCTGTTAAGTAAAGGTAGCGATAACTTTTTGCTTGAATGACAGCGATCGGCAAAATGCATTTAAATCATTAAGATATATTTAGATCTTAAGCAACTTGATGTGCTGTTTGTGGGCAAAGAGGAAAATATACATAGCTTATATGATGATAAATGGGTTCGATTTGTATCCACACCCAACATAAACACGATATTTGACACAGTCTTTGATTTAGGCTCAAATGAACGCTGAATTTTACATCTAGCTCGAAGTGACATTAACAATAACAATTATAGTTTATCTCCACGCAGTAATTGATCTACGATCAAAGGTTTCCGACACTTAATACGGTCATTTTTGTGGCCTTATATAGGCAAAAGAAAGCCGTAGAGTTAAATCGTATAGCGTCAGCAGCAACGTAAAGGAAATAATGATATCTTTGAAACTCTGTTTTATCATTGGGATTCATCAAATATGGTTATATGTTTTGCAGTACATACAAATCGCGTTTAGTTTGCGCGCATTTAACTCATGTGGTAAATACATTTTATAAGGTAGATATATTTATATCGCTTCTGTGTTCGTATAAAATTTTCCGATGTGACGTGACGTATTAATTTATTATTCCATGACGATTAGTACGGATTTTAGTTTGTACTTTTAATCATGTACACATTTGAGATAATCATCTTTAACAAAGGTGTCCTCTTCGGCGCCTCTGGTCGGTGGTTGAAGTTGCTATTTTGTCACTCTGGCCGGGATGAGACGCGAATGTGATGACAGTGGGGTTGATGGCAACAGCGGTGGCAATCTAAAGAAACAAGGCCGTATGGACGGCTGTTCACCTCATCAGCGAGGGACGAACACTCCTGGCGGTGGAGGAAGTGGTAACTCTGCAGGGAGTGGCGGGCCAGGAGGGCAGCAACAGATGTGTCCGACAGGCCCCAACGCAGGCGGAAACAATCTGTACCTTCCACCAACACCATTCCAGGAAACTTTAATTGCGGCAAACCCCTTCGACGATAGCCACATGGCTAGCGCTCACCTCAAAGGCAATCTAGCGAAAAATTTTCCACCTGGTAAAGGTAATTGTCCGCGCAATAACAGCAGTTGTAAGGCTTAAAGACTTAATGAAAGGTACCTCGATGCTGGTACTGTCCTATTTATGTCAAAATTTGGGCCAAACTGTTTGAGACTGTGCGATAGCATCAAAATTTCTTCTAATAAAGCATTCTTGGAAATTCTTACAAACGCCTACAAATATTAGTA